AGACGGACACTTTAAGAGAGAACCACAAGTTAGCCAGGGAGAAAGACTGACTGTGATATATGGGTATGCACAAGACACAGGGGAGGGAGTCACTGACCCTGTCATGTTCTGCGAGGGGCAGGAGTGAGTCAGCATTGACTTCCCAGAAGGACCAACCTGCTCAGGGTACTGCAAGATGAAGATGAGCTCACCCAGACCGAACAAGTCCAGGGGTGAAGGGGAGACAGAGGACATTCTGGGCAGAAGAAACAAAGGAAGAGTATGAGCATGGCCTTGGTGATGTGGATCAGCTTGCTGTAGTATAGGAATTGCAAGTAGCCTGCTGTTGCCTATGACATTGAGGAACTTACAGGGCAGGGTGGGAGGTGAGAGGTGGGGAGACAGGCCCGATTCAGAGGGGCTTCTGAAGCTAAGAGTGGGATGCTGGCCAGAAGTGAGGAGGATTCTTGTCCTGTGCAACCCTGGGCAAGTCACTTTGACTCTCTGGACCTCCATTTGGGTCTGTGGGATTGGATAGTTCATAAAGCCTAGTCCGTCCAGTCCATCTCAGCTCTGTGCATCTTCTGCCACCCTTGGCCAGCCACATTCATGAGTCATTGCTCTTGAAGTCAGGAGCTTCTTCCATCTAAACTCAGTCCTTCCTGCTTCCTCCTGGGTTGCTTCCTCATTCACCCACTCCACAAATATTTACCCAGCATCCAATCCCTTGTGTGCCACTGTGGGAAGGCACGGGGGGATGAAGAATGCAAGGACTGTACCTTGGAGGGACTGCTCAGTAGTGCCTGCAACAGAGGATGGGGTGGTGCTAAGAGCACGAGCTTTGTGTTCAGATACATTTTTGTTTGAATCTTGGCTCCACCAGTGCCGAGCTTCAAGGCTTCGGGCAGGTTTCATCATCTGTGCTGTCCTCCTCAGAGAGAACAACCCAGACCTTGCAAAGTTGCTCAGCCTAGCAAAATGACAACTCAATAAATGACAACTATTATTTTTAGGGCTGCACAGCAGCAAAGCTGGGATTCAAACCCAGGTCTGTGCGCTCCCAAAGCCTGTGTATGCCCACTGCATACCCAGTCAGCTCAGCTCCTTCAAAGGCTTCTTTCTCCCCTGTCAGTTCCTGTGTGAAGCGAGGCTGGACTCAGGCTTAGAATCCCTGTGACACTGGGATTGGGCAGCAGAACTAGCTTGCCGAAGAAATATTGGAGGGAGAGGTGGCTGCAGTCCCCCTGCCTCCTCTCTCCCCTGCCACTGGGTCCAGTCTTCTGGCCCAGTCTGCTCCTTCCAGAACCCAAAGCCCCTGGCCCCATCCAGGTGCAATGACCTCCTCGTCTTGTCTTCTTGTCTCTACTTCCGGTCCATCCCGTTCCCCCCACTGCCACCTAAGTTGCCATGGGGATAGTCCTCACCATCCCTAGCTTCCTCTTGCCCTCATCTTATGATATCCATGGCAACAGCCCCCATTCGTTTCCATGGCAACTGCATCCTGATCCCATCCCCTGCTGGCTGCCTGGTTCTGGGCAGTGCCAATAAAGGGAAGGAGGGAGAGAAGACCTCCCATTAGGAGCAGCATTCGAGGAGGGTTAGTGCCCCTGCCATGAGCAGGCCAACCCCAGATCCCTGTGGAACATCCTACACTGCTTCTCCCCGTCTTAGTGCTTTGGCACACAATGTTCCCTCACTCTTCATCTCTACCAACTCCTTCCAGGCAAGACCCAGTCCACAAGCTTCCTCCCCAAGGAAGCCTTCCAGGCAGCAGAGGAACTAGCACAAGCTTTGGGGTTTGAATCCCTGTCCTGCCACTTGCTAGCTCTGAGACCTTTGGCAGTCATTTCCCCTCTTGGAGTTTTTTTCTTCATCTGCAAAATAGGAATCCTAATTCTTCCCTCACGTTTGCCATGCAGATTAAATAATGTGTGGAAAATGCCTGACACAGGGAAGGTGCGCAGTAAGTGTGAGTTTATTTTTATTCTGCTCAACCACCCCCAAACAGAAGGGATCTCTCTCCTGCACTCCCCCAGCACTTCCTCTGTTCCCCAGCCCTGATAACTTTCTGCTTTGTACTGTGGTTATTTGTGTAACATAGCTTATTTCCCCCTCTGCAGAGGATGCTCTCCAATTTCCCCCACAGAATAGCCCAGCAGACAGTGCACATGGGCATGTGTGTGTGTGTGTGATCGTGTCCGTATATGTGCATGTCTGCATGTGTTTGTGTCTATTTTCATGTGTCTGTGGATGTGTTTTTGTTTCTAGGTTTGTCTGCCTTTGGATGTGTCTGTGTTATTGTACCTCTGCGTGCATGTGTGTGAGTGTGTGTGTGTGTGTGTGTGTGTGTGCACATGCAGATGTTTTGCTCCCGGCTGGGAAGAGTCCGGGGGGCGGGGGGCGGCTCCCAGACCCTTTCTGAAGTCCAGGAATCCAAAGAAGGAATTGGTTTTGCTTGACCCTGCACAGATGAGAAACTGAGGTGCAGAGAGGAAAAGTGACATGCCTGGGCTTACACAGCTGGTCAGTGGCAGTCAGGACCTGAGCCTCGGCCTGCCCAGCATCTTACTCTACAACAGGCTCGCTCTCTGTCTCTGTGTGCGCATGTGTGTGTATGTGTGTGGGAGAAAAAGAAGAAGAGAGATTTTCCATGTGATCAGCATGTTCCCGAGTGTTGTTCTGGGGGCTCTGACTTGAGGGATTCCACATCCCCAGTGCTGTTTCTTCAGCAGTATGTGTGATATCAGAAGCAACACCCTCAAGCACCCTCCTTTTTTTTTGCCAGGCTCCCTTGTGGGAGGCTGTGCTGACAGCCCGACCTCCCTGCCACTATTCCCTTTGCAACCAAAACAGGGGGTGAGCTCTCAAGGGAGGAATTGCCAAAGAGTGCAGAGCCAGGGGCAGCACAGAGCTGGGAGTGAGGAGAGGCAGCAAGATGTCATGAAAATCCTGGGCCCTGCGTTTGAATCCTAGCTTTTTTACTTAATAACTGTGTGACCTTGAGCAAGTTTATATCACCTCTCTGAGCCTCAGTGTCTTCATCTGTAAAATGAGGCTAATGGTGCTTGCCTTGATAAGTTTCGAGAATTCAATGAGCTAAGTAGTGCCTTTGTCCTAGGAATTAGAGGTGACAACAGGGCCCTACAGCAGCCCGAGAGGAGCTGGTGTAAGGCAGCCTGTGTGGAGCAGGCAGGCAGGCATGGAAAGGCACACCTGAGCTGAGTGTTGAAGGCTGAGCAGGAGGTAGCCAGGTTGGGGCAATGGGGCAGAGAATATATGAGGTGCGGGGACAAGTCAGGAGAGCCATCCATGGCCACATTGAGGAAGTTGAAGGTTATCCCATGGCTGCTGATTCCTGGAACACCCAAGTTAGATCATGTCCCTCCTCTGCTTACCTCAATCAGAGCAAACACCAAAGTCTTTATTGTAGGCTCATGCCCTTTCCGATTTGGCCCCCATGACCTCTCTGATCTTATCTCCTATCTCCTCTCATTCACTCTGTTCTACCTCCGGGCCTTTGCACTGGCTGTACCCTCTCTCTGGACTGCTACTGCCTTTGCCATGCAACTTACTCTCACTTCCGTCAGCACTCTGCTTATATGCCATTGCTCCAGAAAGGCCTTCCCTGAGCACCACATCTCAAACAGCACCTTTTTGCAATCTGCTTTATTTTCCTTCCTAGCACTTCACCGCTACCTGAAATGGCAGGATATATTTACTTGTTTCTTTCTTCTCTAAGCCTCCAACCTTGTGCCCCCTATAATGAGACCATTCTCTGGGTCACAGCCACACCCGTTCCCTCGCTAGAACATCACCTCCCTGAGAATGTTCTTGTGCATTTTGCTCACTAGTATATTTCCAGCACCCAGCACTGTGCCTGGCATACAGAAGGTGCTCAGTTGTTGTTTGTTGAGTGAGTTATCTGGCACTGTGGAAGGGTTTTAGTGAGAGAATTTAGGTTAGAATGGTTTGTTTTTGTTTTTGTTTTTGTTTTTGAGACAGGATTTCACTCTGTTGCCCAGGCTGGAGTGAAGTGGCACCATCACGGCTTACTGCAACCTTGACCTCCTGGGCTCAAGCGATTTTTCTGCCTCAGCCTCCCTAGTAGCTAGGACCAAAGGCACGTGCCAGCACGCCTGGCTAATTTTTTATTTTTATTTTATTTTTTTGAGATGGAGTGTCGCTCTGTCACTCAGGCTGGAGTGCAGTGGCACAATCTTGGCTCACTGCAACCTCCACCTCCCGGGTTCAAGCGATTCTTGTGCCTCAGCCTCCCGAGTAGCTGGGACTACAGGGGCCCGCCACCACACCCGAATAATTTTTTCGTATTTTTGGTAGAGATGAGGTTTTGCCATGTTGCCCAGGCTGGTCTTCAACTCCTGGCCTTAAGTGATCCTTCCATGTCAGCCTCTGGAGTAGCTGGGAGTACAAGTGTGAGCCACTGTGCCCAACTAGATTTGTACTTTTTTTGTTTTTTGGAGACAGTCTCACTCTATCTCCCAGGCTGGAGTGCAGTGGTGCGATGTCAGCTCACTGTAACCTCCGTCTCCTGGGTTCAAGTGATTCTCCTGCCTCAGCCTCCCAAGTAGCTAAGATTACAGGCCCACCATGCTCAGTTAATTTTTGTAGTTTTAGTAGAGATGTGGTTTCATCCTGTTGGCCAGGCTGGTCTTGAACTCCTGACCTCAGGTGATCCACGTGCCTTGGCCTCCCAAAGTGCTGGGATTACAGGCATGAGCTATGGTGCCTGGCCTAGATTTGTACTTTTGGTTGTTGTTGGGTTTTTTTTGTTTGTTTGTTTTTTGTTTGTTTGTTTTTTTAAGACAGAGTCTCACTCTGTCTCCCAGGCTGGAGTGCAGTGGCTCGATCTTGGCTCACTGCAACCTCTGCCTCCTGGATTCAAGCGATTCTCCTGCCTCAGCAGGAGATTACAGGCGCCCACCACCACGCCCGGCTAATTTTTGTATTTTCAGTAGAGACGGGTTTTCGCCATGTTGCCCAGGTTGGTTTTGAACTCCTGGCCTCATGCTCGCCTCAGCCTCCCAAAGTGCTGGGATTATAGGAGTGAGCCACCACGCCTGGCCCAGATTTGTACTTTTGAAAGCTCTCACTGGCCACAGGGTGAAGAATGGGTTGAAAGAGGAGATTGGAGGCTATGGTAAAAGTTCAGGAGAAAGTATTTCTTAGAGCAGCCTCCTGAGCACATTCATTGACTCCCTCTGGACGGCAGCTTTTATTGAGCACCTACTGTGTTCCAGGCCGTGTGCTCTGTGTTAGCTGGGAGATTATCAAACTCTCTTCCTGAGCTGGGATTCTGGGAGTCATGAACACAAATAGCTGTCACGCTTTGCCAAAGCTAACCTGTGCCATAAAAAGCAGGACAGACATGTGCTGTGTGTGGGAGCTCTGAACAGGATCAGCAATAATTTCTGGCTGGAGGCGGGATTCAGGAGGGCTTCTTAGTGGTGGCATATGACCTGAATCTTGACGGAACTAGGATGTGGGGGAATTTCTCAGATTGCAGATGGCGGAGACGATGGGGATTGCATTTCAAGTGGTAGGTACTGTATGAGCAGTTTTGGAGATAGAAAGCAGTGGAGCATTTGGGAAAAGCAGGATCTGGGCCAGGCTGGAATGACAGGTGGATGGAGTAGGGGGCTGGCAGCCAACCCTGAAGTATGGCTTAATGTTTAAGAGTGTGGGCTCTGGAGTCAGACTGCCTGGATTTGAATCCGGGCTCTATCATTAGTGGCTGTGTGACCATAGATATGTTACTTAACCTCTCTGGGCCTCAGTTTCTTTATGTGTAAAATGAAGATAAATTACAGTACCTATCTCATATGGTTGTCTTGAAGAGTAAACAGGTTATTCAGTGTGGTGGTAACAATGGTACCTAAATGTACTAAATGGTCTATAAATATTAGCTGTTGTATCTTGGAGAAGCCTCAAATGCCAGAATAAGGGACTTGGGCTATCTCTTCTGAGCAGTGGAAGTTATAGATGATGGTTCATGCATACAGGAGACAGTTGATCAAAACCGGGCTTGAGCCGTGTGCTGGGAGGGGAGGTTTGAGAGATTAGTGGGCATGATCCTGCAGTTCTGGCAGGGAGGAGAGGAACATCTTAGATGCCGGGGGTGGGCTGAGCTGGGGCTGAACCCTGGAGCGGCGGTGATGTCAGGGCCACCGTCCCAGGCCCCGGAGGGAAGAGAATTTGGGGTGGAGGGTGAGCAATGGGTGGGAGCTCCCCCCAGGGCGGAGCCGAGCTCCACAGTGCTGCAGCCCGCGACCGGGCCTCGTGGGCGCAGCCTTCACGCCACATCCAGCCCCCAGTGCAAAGCGCTCTGCTGCGAGGCTGGCAGGCCTGTTGCAGCTCAAGCTCCTGCACTGGTAGGGTCCCCCCCAGTACCCACCCCAGCCCATTTCTGCCCTTTGCCTTCCCCTCTGCCAAATAGGGGCTGGGGAGTACCCCTTTGCCTGTTTACCAGCCAAGAGCCTCCAACCTTGTGCCCCCCATAATGAGACCATTCTCTGGGTCCCAGCCACACCTATTCCCCCCACAGCCTCCTCCATGCCTCACCTTCGTGTTCCTTCCTGCCCGACTCCTTCCCTGTCTTCCCCACCTCTGTAGCTCTTCACCATGCAGGCTCGGCTCAAGGCGCCTGGGCTCTGTCGCCACCTGGGTTCCCTGGCAGCCTGGTTGCCATGGCACCATGGGAGCAGTTCTGGTGGAACAACAGCTCTGGGAAACCAGGGCGGGCAATCCCGGGGCCCAGCTCCTGCCACGCGTGGAGACCCCCCTGCCCCCTTCCCCCAGCTGAGCAGAGGAGGCCATGAGGAGAAAAAGGAAGCTGCCCCGCAGGGCTGCTCTTTACCTGTGAGGATGCTGGATGGGAGGCGCCTCCCACTGTTGCTGCTCGCCCTGCCCTGCTGCTGGCCCTGCCCTCGCAGCCAGGGAACCCTGGGAACTGGCTTGGCCTGGCCTGGAGTTCAGGCACCAGGGGGCAGGGGCCAGGCTGCAGGGGGCAGGGCTGGGCAGGTGAGGGGAGAGTCTGGGTGGGCAGGGTGCAGGGGTGGGCCTCACACAGCTGGGACAGGGCTGGGAGGGGGTGGCGCTTCGAAGGAGCTAATCTGGGGTGGTGCTGGGACTCGGACTGGGAGGGAAATCACAGCGCACTGTGTTGGGGACAAGGCCAGGAGGGGATGGAGCTGTAAGGGGAAGAGGTCTGTGGGGAGGGGTGGAGCTGTGAGGGGACAGAAAAAAGGGGCATGAAGAGACAAGACTGGGAGGGGAGTGGTCTCGGGGAGAAGGCTGTGAGGGGTGAGGAGGACGGGACCAAACAGATCCTTGAGGGAAAGGAGTCTAAGAGGATCTTGCTGTGAAGGCAAGGGGGCTGGAAGGGAAGGGACTTGGGTGGGAGTGGGGAGACAGTCCAAGAGCTAGGACTCACCCTGGCCTGTAAGTGTTGGGTCCCTATATCTGTGAGGAAGCTGGGGTGGATGGGATGGGGGGCAGGGATCTGGCTCACCCACTCTCAGTCTGGCCCAGTAGGCCCCTCTCCTGTCCCAACATCCTGGCTCATCTTATCTCATCCCCACAGTGTGGAGGGTGATGCCCCAGGCAGTGACCTGAGCACAGCGGTTGATAGTCCTGGGAGCCAACCCCCCTACCGGCTGAGCCAGCTGCCCCCCTCCAGCAGCCACATGGGGGGCCCCCCTGCTGGAGTGGGCCTTCCCTGGGCTCAACGGGCACGCCTCCAGCCAGCCAGTGTCGCCCTGAGGAAGCAGGAGGAGGAGGAGATAAAGCGCTCCAAGGCCCTATCGGACAGCTATGAACTCTCCACAGACCTGCAGGACAAGAAGGTGCAGAAGAGGCAGTCTGGTTGGGAATGGGAGTCGGGATGCAAGAGAGTGCCAGGGGAGGGTTTGGGATGTGGCTCTTAGGGGTGGAATCAGGGAGGGATAATGAGGCTGGAATTGGAGAAGACTGGCCCAGGACCCTTCACCACACTGGGGATGCACTCATTCACCACCCATCCACTGAGGCTTGTATTCACTCAAGAAACATTTACTGAGCTCCCTGCCCAGGTCTTGGAGATGTAAAGATGAATGAGTCCTGGATCTGGTCCCCAAAAAACTCAGTCTAACGGGAAGCACACATATCAGTTGACCTTTTCAGAAGAGTGCCATACAATAGATTATTTAGCTAAAAAAAAAGGTGGAGGGAAAACAAAATACTACATATAGGAAAAAACTGGAAGGACATATACGAAAACATATACCCTAAACCAAAGGACATATTCTAGTTAGGTGTTTGGAATGGAGGTAATTCCTTCCCTCCTTCCTTCCTTCCTTCCTTCCTTCCTTCCTTCCTTCCTTCCTTCCTTCCTTCCTTCCTTCCCTTCCCTTTCCTCCTCCCTCCTCCCCTTCCTTCCTTCTCTTCCTTTCTCTCTCCGTCTCTCTTTGTCCTTTCTCATTCTCTCTCTTCCTCCTTTCTTTCCTTCTTGCTCTCCATGTATTTTTACCTTGCTTTCTTTTTATCGGCTTCTCTGTTTGTTTCCTGTTTTCAAATGATCAATATGTTCTTCTTGCAAATAAGAAAACAAAACATAATCCAATCCCATTTGACCAGTGTTATCTGAAATTCAAGTGAGGAGACAACACTGAGCACCTAGCCTGGCGCTTTTGGTGGCTGTAAGCAGTCAGCGGTGACTCCAGTGGGGGTGGTGTGGTTTAGTGCCTAGGGAGATGAGGCTGCCATGACTTTCTGACCTTGTTCCCCTCGACCCTTCTCTGCCAGGTGGAAATGCTGGAGAGGAAGTATGGGGGCTCCTTCCTGAGCCGCAGAGCTGCCAGGACCATCCAGACAGCCTTCCGCCAGTACCGCATGAACAAGAACTTTGAGCGGCTACGCAGCTCAGCCTCAGAGAGCCGCATGTCCCGCCGCATCATCCTTTCCAACATGCGGATGCAGTTCTCCTTTGAGGAGTATGAGAAGGCACAGAACCCCGCGTACTTCGAGGGCAAGCCTGCCTCGCTGGACGAGGGTGCCATGGCTGGTGCCCGGAGCCACCGGCTTGAACGGGGGCTCCCATATGGGGGCTCCTGTGGTGGGGGCATCGATGGTGGTGGAAGCTCCGTCACCACATCTGGAGAGTTTTCTAATGACATCACAGAACTAGAGGACTCCTTCTCCAAACAGGTCAGGATCCCTGAAAAGGGCCTTTCTTCTCCATCCCCATGCTCTGGCTACTCATGCTACTTTTTACCTAGATTGCAAACTGAAAGAAGTTGCGTGACAGGCGTTTAATAACAGCAAATAGCTACCATTTGAGTTGGGACTGTGAGAATAATGAGAAAGAACTGGCAAGATAGAAATTACTTTTTTTTTTTTTTTTTGAGACAGAGTTTCGCTCTTGACACCCAGACTGGAGTGCAATGGCACGATCCTGGCTCACTGTAACCTCCGCCTCCTGGGTTCAAGTGATTCTCCTGCCTCACTCTCCGGAGTAGCTGGGATTGCAGGCAGGTGCCACCACGCCCAGCTCATTTTGTATTTTAGTACAGACAGGGTTTCACCATGTTGGCCAGGCTGGTCTCAAACTCGTGACCTCAGGTGATCCACCTGCCTCGACCTCCCAAAGTGCTGGGATTACAGGCGTGAGTCACTGCGCCCAGCCAGAAATTACATTGTTAAAACAAGCAAGTTACAAATATGGGTGTTCCATGCTGTTCCCTTCTTGTGGGAAAAAATATATATGGGTGTATAGAACAAATAAGAAAAAAGTTCTCACTACTTGGAACTTGATCTACTATAAAATAAAGCTTAACTCACAGGTAATGAGCTCCTACTGTGTGCCAGTGCTGTGTATGCCTCACACCAGACCTGTGAGACAGGGATTATTATTCCCATTTAATAGAGGAGGAGACTGAGGCTAAGGACCTGGAATTGGTCCTTGTCCTCAAGGATCCCAGTGCAGTAGGAAATGGCAGACATGTGTGCATTACTGTCTCCTGAAGTAGAGTGTGCTCTGAGACATGAGAAAGGCTATATAGTACAATGTATGGTACCTTGGGAACCCAGAGGAAGGGGAGGAAACTTTCTTCTGGGAGAACCACAGAAAACCCACTTGAGAAAACAGCATTGGAGATTGGCCTTGCCAGACAGAAAAGATTTAGCAAGTTAGAAATACTTGGAAGGGTGTTGCTTACATAGGCGTTGCATCAGCAAAATCGTGGAGGGGTGGGATTGTAACGCAGTAAAGGTAGTGGGAGATCGTTCTAGGGTTGGGGTGTGTCAACATACTTGCCCAGGTGTGAATCCCAGTTCTGCCATTTCCCAACTGTGTGGCCTTGGCAAACTGTTTAACCACACTGAAACATGATCAATAAAATGGAGAGAAAATAAAATGGAGAGAAAACCCTTTTAGAGCTATTTGGAAGACTCAGTGCAACTATACAGGTAATATATATGAAAACGCCTAGTACATAGTAGCTGCTAAGTACATGTTAGTTTTCTTCCTAAAACCAAGAAGGTACTTGGTAGAGATTGTTGAATGAATGGATGAAGCCTTATAAGAGAAAAAGTCACTCTGCTCTAACCTCTATGATCTGGCCTTGCCATCAGCCTGGGCATGCCTCCTTGGACCTGGTGAAGAGGTGGAGGGAAGGACAGGAATATTGAAGGGAAGATCTATATCATTTATCTGTTCATTCATACCACAAAGATTTAATTGAACATCTCTTCTGTGTCAAGCAATGTGTTGAGCTGAGCTAGAAAGAGAAACCAGGCCTGGATCCACCCCTCAAGGGAGGAATGGGGAATAGGAGATCAGTGTGGGAACCAGGTCTGGTCCCAGCTCTGAGTGCTATTGAAGTCTGATGGGGAAGTATATCCGTTATCTGTAAGCTGTGTAACAAATTACCCCCAAATTTGGTAGCTTAAAACTGACCCAAGAGACTGAGCCTAAACCATAAACATTTATTATCTCATACAGTTTCTGGGGGCCAGGAAGCTGGGAATGGCATGACTGAGTGGTTTTGGTTCAGGGCCTTTCATGAGGTTGCAGTCAAGCTGTAGGGAGAGCCTGCAATATCTGAAGACTAGACTGGGGCTGGCAGTCTGCTTTCAAGCTCACTCACTTGGCTGTTGGCAGGAGGATTCAATGCCTCACCCTGTGGGCCTCTCTATAGGACTGTTCGTGACGGGCTTTCCCCAGGTTGGGGGGTCTGAGAGAAAGAGTACAAGTGACAAGCGACCAAGAGTGCTCAAGATGGAAGCTGCAGTCATTTAAATTTTTTTTTTTAATTTTGTAAATTAAAAAAATTTTTTTTGCAGTCTTTTTTAAAAAAATTTAAATAATTTTTTTTTGGCCGGGCATAGTAGCTCACACCTGTAATCTCAGCACTTCGGGAGGCCAAGGCAGGCGGATCGCCTGAGGTCAGGAGTTTGAGACCAGCCTGTCCATCATGGCGAAACCCCATCTCTACTAAAAATATAAAAATTAGCCAAACATGGTGGTGTGTGCCTGTAATCCCTGCTACTGGGGAGGCTGAGGGAGGAGAATCGCTTGAACCTGGGAGTTGGAGGTTGCAGTGAGCTGAGATCGTGCCACTGCACTCCACCTTGGGCAAGAGCGAGACTCTGTCTCAAAAAAACAAATAAAAATTTTAGAGACAGGATCTTGCTGTGTTGCCAGGCTGGAGTGCAGTGGCGTGATCATAACTCACTGCAGTCTCAAACTCCTGGGCTCAAGTGATCCTCCTGCCTCACTCTCCTGAGTAACTGGGACTACAGGTGTGTACCACCACACCCAGCTAATGTTTTTATTTTTTGTAGAGGTAGAGTCTCGCCATGTTGCCCAGGCTTTTCTTGAACTCCTGGGCTCAAGGGATCCTCCCATCTTGGCCTCCCAAAGTGCTGGGATTACAGGCATGAGCCACCATGCCCAGCCTCTGCAGTCTTTTAAAACCTAATTTCAGAAGTGACATACATTCACTTCTGCCATATGCTGTTTGTCACACAGACTAACTCTGGTACAATGTGGTACCCTAGGGTGTGAATACCAGGAGGCAGAGATCATGAGCGGTCAGTTTGGAGTCTGGATACCACAGGGAAAGAGCATTACCAGCTGTGGTCCAGACGCTCAAGGTCAGATGTTATGGATTTCCTAAGAGAATTCCCACAGAGGAAGCTGGGATTTTGGTTTACCCTGGGGGATGGCAGAGGCAAGAATGTGGCTTGAATCAGGGAGGAGGTAACATTTGACTTGAGTCTAAATGGACACAAAGGAGGTATTGGGGTGTGAGCTGAGTGGGGGAACTCGTGGGCATTAGTCCCAGCTCCTGTGAGCTCACAATGGTTCCCTGGGAGTCATTTTATAGACCACAGAGAGTTTGTCAGGGCTGGGGGAGGGGAATCCACCCTCCTTGCTGACCTACCAGGAAGACTCCCCCTTTTCCCTTACCCCCCTCCCTCATTCCCACCTTCCACCATTCTTCCCTTTATCTTTCTTTCTTTTCTCTCCCTTTCCCTCCTCTCCTCCCCCACCTGCACAGGTAAAGTCTCTGGCTGAATCCATCGACGAAGCCCTGAACTGCCACCCATCAGGGCCCATGTCTGAGGAGCCAGGTTCAGCCCAGCTGGAGAAGCGGGAGTCAAAGGAACAGCAAGAGGACAGCTCGGCCACATCCTTCAGTGACCTTCCCCTCTACCTGGATGACACAGTTCCCCAACAATCCCCTGAGCGACTGCCCAGCACAGAACCCCCACCCCAGGGCCGGCCCGAGTTCTGGGCGCCAGCCCCTCTCCCACCAGTTCCTCCACCAGTGCCATCAGGAACCCGGGAAGATGGTAGCCGTGAGGAAGGCACTCGCAGGGGTCCCGGGTGCTTGGAGTGCCGGGATTTCCGGCTGCGGGCCGCCCACCTTCCCCTACTTACCATTGAGCCTCCTAGTGACAGCTCCGTGGACCTGAGTGACCGCTCAGATCGCGGCTCTGTCCACCGCCAGCTGGTGTATGAGGCTGATGGCTGCAGCCCCCATGGGACCCTGAAGCACAAGGGGCCACCAGGCAGGGCCCCGATCCCACACCGCCACTACCCAGCCCCTGAGGGCCCAGCCCCAGCCCCACCAGGGCCCCTGCCACCAGCCCCCAACAGTGGCACTGGGCCCAGTGGTGTGGCTGGGGGTCGGAGGTTGGGGAAGTGCGAGGCAGCAGGCGAGAACTCTGATGGTGGAGATAATGAGAGCCTCGAGAGCTCCAGCAATTCCAATGAGACCATCAACTGCAGCTCCGGCTCCTCTTCTCGGGACAGTCTAAGGGAGCCTCCGGCCACCGGCCTGTGCAAGCAGACTTACCAGCGGGAGACAAGGCACAGCTGGGACTCGCCAGCTTTCAACAATGATGTGGTCCAGAGGCGGCACTACCGAATCGGCCTCAACCTTTTCAACAAGTGCGTGCTGCCCGTTCTAGCCTGCTCGCCCTTTCCTACCCTGCCACGGGTACTTGGGTTCCTGGGACAGAACTCCACGCAGTGATCCCGGTTCTGCCATCCTTTCATTTTGTGGAACGGTATTTCTCCCCAGACATTCAGGGAAGAGGATTGGCAACAGGGTGAAAGAGTAGAGAGTCCCTTAACACACCTGGGCAGTCCTAGTACTGCCTCTGGCTGACTGTGCGATCTTGGGTGAGATGACCCCACTAAATGGATTCTGAAACTTGTCCTCCCCACCTTCCCTTTTTAGAGGGGAGGTGATATGGTGTAGAAAGAGCCCTAGCCTGGGAAACAGGAGATCTGGCCCCCGAGTGGGCCTTTGGCCAGACTCGCTGCATAGCCCTGGGCAAGGTGCATTCCTCCCCTGGGCTTCTATTTTTCCACCTACCACTAGCAGAATGTGTATGTGAGAGATGTTGGGGGCAGGGTGGTGTGCTAGACCCTTCAGTGACTGTGACTAAGCTCTTCCTAGGTGCCTGGTCTTCTGTCAGGTGTTTAGGAGTGAGGTGGGAGTGTGACATTTGATTAGAAAATAATTGGAAAACATGAGATGTAATTAGAAAACATTAAATGTAATATAAGCCATTACTTGAATGCCTTACATCTTTATAGCTTATTAAACACTGCCACCTATATTTCATTCTTACAATAACTCAGCAAGGCAGGCAGTAGTGTTCCTGTTTTGTAGATAAGGAACCAAGGCTTGGAGAAGTAAAAGGAATTGTCCAAAGTCATACAACTGGGAAGTGACGGATCTGAGACTCCTATGGCACCAGTCCCTTCTGAATTTTAACCTTGTGGGGTCCTAAGGTTCTGGGATTCTGAATATGGGATAACTGTGACCCAGATTTTGGCCCAGCTCCCTGGAAATCTAGGGAGCACCTTGTCTATAGAAACACTCAGAGGAAGTTGGTGAGACCTGCCTGTGTGGGATGTGGGATATGGAACAAAGTAACCTCTTCACTTCTTCCCTACTCTGTGGGTCTGTGACTCACAGGGAAGGTGCTCAACCTTGCTCCTTGGTTCTTGCTGGGAAGGTCAGAGCTCCTGGCGTAGAGCGGGCTCTCATTAGATACTGATTTTCTTTCTATTGTGGTGTAGCTCCAGTGAAGGGGGATGTTGGGTTCAAGATACCTTGGGATTTTGAAGCTCCTCGAAATGGGCAAGTGGCTTCTTCTCTCTAGGCCTCAGTTTTCTCATTTGCGCCATGATGGGATTGGATCAAATTATGTATTTGACTTCGTTGGTCCTCTGAGGCCGGACTTAGTTGGGCCCAAAATGAGTTCAACAAATGAGACAGAGTGCACAGTTCCAGGAGGACAGTCATCTCATCTACCTCCCCTCTTTCTGCAGGAAGCCAGAGAAGGGTATCCAGTATCTGATCGAGCGGGGCTTCCTGTCAGACACACCGGTGGGAGTGGCTCACTTCATCCTGGAGCGGAAAGGCCTCAGCCGGCAGATGATAGGGGAATTCCTAGGGAACCGGCAGAAGCAGTTCAACAGAGACGTGTTGGAGTGAGGACCCCAGGATGGGGCAGGCTGGGCCAGGGATTCCTGGAAAAGGACAGCAAGAGGGAGGAAGGGGGCAGCCTGTCCCTTTAGCTCAAATAAGCTTTTCAAAACAGGATGAATAGACCTTCCTGCCCCCGTACCCTTCTGCCCCAAAGGGGTCTGATCTTGTTTGGCTCTATTCCTAAAGTCTTCTATGTGGCCCTGGGCAAGACGTGCTCATCCTGTGGCCTGTTTTGGGCCTCAGTTTTCCCGTCTCTGAAATGAGTGGCTCGATGGAAAGGGCCTTTAGTGACCACATGCCTTGCCTCAATTTTCTGAGATGGATTTGATTTCAAACATTCTGTCCTCATGTGTACTTGCTTGGGCCATGGGTCCTGAATTTGGGAGTGTATCAGTGGGGGTGTTGGTCCATTTGAGCAGGTCCAGGTGAGTCAGAGGTTTTCTGCAGAGGAATTGAAAGCACCACACCCCCTTCTTTGCTCCTTAGCTGTGTGGTGGATGAGATGGACTTCTCCTCAATGGATCTGGATGATGCACTCCGGAAGTTCCAGTCCCATATCCGGGTTCAGGGTGAGGCCCAGAAAGTGGAGCGACTCATCGAAGCCTTCAGGTGTGCCTGTCTCCCACTTGTGAAGCTGCCCCTCCCTCCTGTGGGCATCGACGTAGTATGTGTTTACAAGTCGCTTCTCTGAGCCTCATACTCTCTTCACCATAAAACAGAAATGATAAATCCTATCTTGCAAGGCAATTGTGAGGATCAGAGGTAGTGCATGTAAAGTATCTAGCTTAGCCTCTGGGACATGGGCATTCGATAAGTGACAACAACATCAGCAATAACAGCTAACATTCACGGAGCACTTATTAGGTATCAGGTGCTGAGCTGAGCACTTTACACGATTATTTCACCGAATAATCACAACCACCCCATAAAGTCGGCACTTCTATTATTATTCCCATTTTATAGAGGAGAAATCAGAAGTTTAGAGAGGTTAAGTAACTTGCCCAGGGTCATACAGTGAATAAGTGGTAGAACCAGGATTTGAACTTGTATGTGTCTAAGTCCATGATCCATCCATGCCCTTAGCCATTTTACTCTACTATAAATGCTTTGGAGATCAGGTAGGCCGGGGTCTAAATCCTGGCTCTGCCACTTTAGGGTATTTAGAAGAGAAACAGGAGTTGCTGAGAACTTGTTTCCCACAATGGGGGAAGGATTTGCTTTGCAGTTAGAAATATCTGGGTTTTCATCCTGGCTTCACCATTTACCAGCTCTGTTACCTTGGGCAAGTTACCTTGTCACTTTGAGTCTCAGTCGCTTCATCTTGAAAATGGGACTGCCAATAGCTACCTTGCAGGATTATGATAGGATTACATGAAACAATGTATATAAATCCCCTGGAAGAGCTCTGTAAAAGGTAGCGATTGTAATTTTTACATGCTGGTCTAGGGGAAGCTCTGAAGAGGACAGACCCAGAGATCAAGAAAGTATTTATTGCAGGAAAGGGTTGCTGGTATCAGACTGGGTGGGTGGTGGATAGGCAGAGATGGCTGCTTCCTGAGTCTGGCTTTGACCCCTCCTGCCCTGCAGCCAGCGGTACTGTGTCTGTAACCCAGCCCTTGTGCGCCAGTTCCGGAACCCAGACACCATCTTCATCCTTGCTTTTGCCATCATCCTCCTCAATACCGACATGTACAGTCCCAGCGTCAAGGCTGAACGAAAGATGAAACTAGATGACTTCATCAAGAACCTGAGAGGTGACTTCCTTATCAGCCTTTCCTGCCCTTCGCCTGGGAAGGGAAAGTGGGGGTTAAGGTGGGGAAGGATGCAGGAGATGCCATCTGTTCCTCGGAAATTAATTTGTGATGCTGTCACTTTCTGCCCTAGCTGGATGTTCCCAGGATATTCACTTATTAATTCACTCAAATCGTCATTTGCCCATTGTACTGAGCTTCTGCTGTGCACCAGGTTTCTAGGTCCTGGGGTTCAAGCAGTGAACATGATAGATTAAAGTCCTGACTCTTACAAGGCTTTATTCTGATTCATTCATTCAGTCATTCACTTCTCTTTTCCTCACTCCCTCTTTCCCTCTCTTATTTATGCCCATGAGGACTCATTTAATTATTTTGCGTATCTTTTCCTCTACTCATGCATTCATTTATCACTCGACCAAACAACCAGCCAGCCAGTCAACACTTAGCACTTAGTGTGTGCCAAGCCCCATGATGGGTGCCAAGGACAATGGAGAGGAATCTGCCATACTCCCTGTTCTGAGAGAGCTCCCGTGTGTGGGAGAGGCTGACTTGTAGCACCCAGATAACTAACATGAGACAGAAAGTGAACAGTGACATCAGAGAGGCCAAAAGTGCAGTCAGAGCTCAAAGGAGGAAGAGCCCACCTCTAGCTAGCTTCCCGGAGGAGGCAGTATTTTTATTTTAAGGTGGGTCTTGAAGGCATGGAGAAGGTGACACAATAGAGATAGAGGAGGGCTTACCTACCAGTGAGAATACCAAAGATGCAGAGGCAGGAACATTTATTTTCTTTAGGGAACAACTGAGGGCTGGGTACGGTGGCTCACGTCTGTAATCCCAGCACTTTGTGAGGCTGAGGCAGGTGGATCACATGAGGCCAGGAGTTCCAGACCAGCCTGGCCAACATGAGGAAACCCCATCGCTACTAAAAATACAAAAGTTAGCAGGCATGTTGGTGCATGCCTGTAATCCCAGCCACTCAGGAGGCTGAGGTAGGAGAATTACTTGAACCCGGGAGGCAGAGGTTGCAGTGAGCTAAGATTGCACCACTGCACTCCAGCCTGAGTGACAGAGCAAGACTCTGTCTTCAGAAGAAAAAAAGAAGAACAATTGAGATGAGGTCATTGATGAGTTGGGAAGGTCCCAATATATGAGGTTCCAATATATGGAACTAATATATGAGGGCCTTGAATGCCAGATGAAAGGTGTCACCTTGCTCTTTTTGCTTATTCTACTGATGTCGAGCCCTCCCTATCACCAAAGAGCAGCCTACTAAAAATGGTACAGATGTTAAGATTATTTAAGCAGAAAAGAAAGAGGGAAATAGAGTCAAAGAGAAAAAGCAAACTGAAAACAAGACAAATTGGCTGCCCATTGGGTTTGTGCAGCTGTGGCTGCTCTGGTAAGAAAGTCAGTGTGATATAGAATGTTCCTTTAGCACCTGTCCAAGGAGGAGATGTGGCATTTCCAAGGAAGAAAGCATTTTCTCCTTTTTGTTTTCTGTTTTTTTGTTTTTTATTTTCAGAGACAGGGTCTCACTCTCTCACCCAGGCTGGAGTGCTGTGGTGCTAGCAGAGCTCACTACAGCCTTGAACTGGGCTCAAGCGATCCTCCCACCTCAGCCTCCTGAGTAGCTGGGAATATAGGCGCGGGCCACCATGCCCAACTAATTTTTAAATTTTTTGTAGGGACGGGGTCTTGCTATGTTGCCCAGGCTGGTCTCAAACTCCTTGCCTCAACTCGGCCTCCCAAAGTGCTGGGATTACAGGTGTGAGCCTCCACATCCTGCCCAGAAAACATTTTCTCTAGTAGAGGATTTAGAGAGAAGAGTGAGTAGGTTTCACTCAGCAATCAGAAATGGAGAAGGATGGTGAAGATGGGAGGAGGGAGTTAGATCAGAGGCCATTTGGAGTTGTCTCCTATAATTTTGCCATCATTCATTCATCCATTCTTTTTCCCTCTGTCTCTCAATGTGTGTGTGTGTGTGTGTGTGTGTGTGTGTGTATCTTTTCCCCTCTAATTATTATTATTATTATTTTTTATTTTTTATTTTTTTGAGACAGAGGCTCGCTCTGTCGCCCAGGCTGGAGTACAGTGGCCGGATCTCAGCTCACTGCAAGCTCCGCCTCCCGGGTTTACGCCATTCTCCTGCCTCAGCCTCCCGAGTAGCTGGGACCACAGGCACCCACCACCTCGCCCGGCTAGTTTTTTGTGTTTTTTAGTAGAGACGGGGTTTCACTGTGTTAGCCAGGATGGTCTCGATCTCCTGACCTCGTGATCCGCCCGTCTCGGCCTCCCAAAGTGCTGGGATTACAGGCTTGAGCCACCGTGCCCGGCCTCCCCTCTAATTATTAAATAAAGCAGCAAATAAATGAAGGTAATACATACTTGTTTCAGAAATGTTGGAAGATTCAGAAAATTAGAAAATTTCTTTTTATCACCCAAAATTTGCCCCCTAGAGGCAATCATAGTTAATGTTTTGGTGCGTTCTAATCTTTTCCCCCATGCATATGTAACTTTTTATATAGTTCAGATCATACCATACATGCAATTTGTCTTACTCTTTTCACATAATTTGCTACTGTAATTTTCTCAAGCTATCGAAATGTTTTTGTAAATGTCAAGTTTTTAATAGCTGTGCACTATTTTATTAAATGGATATACTATCCTTTACTTAACTGTTCCTCTATTGTTAAAATTTAGGTTGTTTCAAATTGTCCCCATAAGTAACACTTGGTGAGTATTCTTTTTATTTTATTTTATTTTTTTTGAGACGGGGTCTTGCTCTGTTGCCCAGGCTGGAGTGCAGTGGTGCAATCATGGTTGACTGCAACCTCCTCCTCCCAGGCTCAAGCTAGTATCCCACTTCAGCCTCCCAAGTAGCTGGGACCACGGGTGTGTGCCACCACACCCAGCTAATTTTTGTATTTTTTGTAGAGATGGGATTTTGCCATGTTGCCCAGGTTGGCCCTCAAATTCCTGGGCTCGAGTGATCCACCTGCCTCAGCCTCCCAAAGTGCTGGGATTACACTACGCCTGTCCTAGCAATCTTCTTTTTTCTTTTTTTTTCTTTTTTTTTTTTTTTAGACAAGAGTCTCAATCTTGTTGCTCAGGCTGGAGTGCAGTGGCCCGATCTTGGCTCACTACAGCCTCTGCCTCCCGGGTTCAAGCAATTCTGCCTCAGCCTCCCGAATAACTGGGACTACAGGCACACGCTGCCACGCCTGGCTAATTTTTTGTATTTTTAGCAGAGATGAGGTTTCACCATGTTGGCCAGGATGGTCTTGATCTCCTGACCTCATGATCTGCCCGCCTCGGCCTCCCAAAGTGCTGGGATTACAGGTATGAGCCACCATGCCCGGCCTGCACTAGCATTCTTGCACATACATCTTGCACATATTTCTGAGTAGTTCCTTAAGGTAGATTCCTAGAAGAAGAATCACTGTGTACAAACATTTAGATTCTTGCCAAATTACCTTCCAAAAGAGTTATGTTACCATACATGCCCACTTCCCTGCACTCTTCCTAGCACTGGATTTCATTTAAAATTATTTTTGCTAATTAGAAAGGCAAACAATAGTATCTGATTGTTTTAATTACAGTGTATTCTGAGTTGTTGAGAGAAAATTTCCCACCCTGGGGAAGACAGCAACTGGCTGTTGTGTTGAAGGACATCCTCCCTGCCCCAATCCTGGCTAAGGGGCTGAGGATACCCACTGACCCTCAGTCCTGACTGTCATGGCCCGTGCCTGGGTGTGGGAGTTGTGGAGCATCCCTACCACCCAGTGCCCATAATTATGTGACATATCCCTGTGTTACTCCCTCCCCCAGGGGTTGACAATGGTGAAGACATCCCCCGAGACCTCCTGGTGGGCATCTACCAGCGCATCCAGGGGCGTGAACTGCGGACCAACGATGACCATGTGTCCCAGGTGCAGGCTGTGGAGCGCATGATTGTTGGAAAGAAACCAGTAAGTGCCTTGGAAGGCTGCAGAGGGGCCAGGGTTCAGGTCTGCCTCTGCCACTAAGTGCACCTCCTGAGTCACTGCACCTCCCTGAGCCCCAGGTGCCCTTTACCTGCAATACGGAGTGGGTGATAATGCATTCCTCAGAAGGCTGTGATGCAGAGTGAATGCATCGAGCACATTCCAAGGCCCATAGTGGGAACTGTATAAATATTAACATCGTTTTCGCCTCTGGCTTTGCCTGTCCATCCTAAGTGAAGGGCCAAGCTAATGGTTATCAGAAAACCAAAGCAAGAACACACTTTAGGCCAGGTGCAATGGCTTGTGCCTGTAATCCCAGCACTTTGGGAGGCCGAGGTGGGCGGATCACCTCAGGTCAGGAGTTCCAGACCAGCCTGGCTATCATCGCAAAACCTGTCTCTACTAAAAATACAAAAATTAGCCAGGCGTCGTGGTGCATGCCTGGAGTTCCAGTTACTCAGGAGGCTGAGGCAGGAGAATCGCTTGATCCCAGGAGGTGGAGGTTGCAGTGAGCTGAGATCGTGCCAACGCACTCCAGCCTGGGTGACAGAGCAAGGCTCCATCTGAAAAAAAGAAAAAAAAAAAAAGAACAGGCTTTAGCCAACAAACATTTGTGGATGCCTTTCCACTGAGCCCAGCATTTTACTGGGCACCAGAGTTGGTGCTGGGCATTCATATATATGAATCAGACGTGGTCTCTGTCCTTGGGGGCACTCACAGACCAGTTGGGGTGTGAGACAAAGACACATATAATACTTCTGCCTTATGGTCCAGTTTAGGAGAGGAGAAAGGAGAAAGAGGCCATTTTCAGCCTGGAGAAATCAGGGAAGGCTTCTTGGAAGAGATAATTTTGGGATTGAATTTTTTTTTTTTTTTGAGATGGAGTTTCACTCTGTCACTCAGGCAGGAGTGCACTGGCATGATCTTGGCTCATTGCAACCTCCACCACCTGGGTTCAAATGATTCTCCTGCCTCAGCCTACTGAGTATCTGGGATTGCAGGCGCCAACCATCATACCCAGCTAATTTTTGTGTTTTTAGTAGAGACGGGGTTTCATCATGTTGGCCAGGCTGGTCTCGAACCCCTGACCTCAGGTGATCCGCTCACCTCGGCCTCCCAAAGTGCTGGGATTACAGGCGTGAGCCATCATGCCTGGCTGGGATGGAAATTTGAAGGGGAGTTGAAATATGACCATGCAGAGCTGGACAAGAAAGATATTCCAGACAGAGAGACAAAGGCAAGGTAGAAGAAAAGTTTAGGCCTTAGTTGCTGATACCCCTTGTGTCAGAGTGATACACATGTATGAGAGGTAAACTTTTTGCGGTTGAAACTTAAGGTGCCAGGAGGCCTGAAGCTGTGGGCTGGCCTTGCTGACACCTGTTTCTCCATGCCTGTCTAGGTCCTGTCTCTCCCTCACCGTCGACTGGTTTGCTGCTGCCAGCTCTATGAGGTGCCAGATCCAAACCGCCCCCAGAGGCTAGGGTTGCATCAGCGAGAGGTCTTCCTCTTCAATGATCTCCTTGTGGTATGAGCACTGTGGGGGAGGAGATGGAAGGGGGATAGTGAGGTTGACACCTGAGTCTGGTGTGAGCCATGTTGATGTTGGTGTGTGGTGTGGTGTGTGGAGTGTCGCAGGCGAGGTGTTCTGCCATGCCATCCGCATGGTCTCAGGCAAGGCCCAGGCCTTCTCTGCCCCTCCTTTTCCTCACAGATTCCTTTGGAGATAGTAACAGACGCACAGGGACAGAATATATGAGGACCAAAGGGATGACAGACTTACAACCTGGGAAGTGGTAGGAAATATCCTTGTGCACCTCAGTAGCCCATAGGGTTGTGTGAAGAGGGGTGAACCTGTGACCCCCAGGTCAGGCTAGAAATCTTCAGTAATCAAGATGCTTGAAGTGGGCCGGGCACCATGGCTCACGCCTACAGTCCCAGAACTTTGGGAGGCCAAGGCAGTTTGAATCACTTGAGCCCAGGAGTTTTGAGACCAGCTTGGGCAACATGTCGAAACCCTGTCTCCACAAAAAATATGAAAATTAGCCAGGCGTGGTGGTGTGTACCTGTTGTGTCTAGTCCCAGCTACTTGGGAGGCTGAGTCAGGAGGATCACTTGAGCCCGGGAGGCAGAGGTTGCAGTGTGCTGTGATTGTACCACTGCATTCCAACCTGGGCAACAGAGCCAGATCCTGTCTCAAAAAATTAAATAAATAAATAAATAAATAAATACACAAATAATAAAAACAAAATTTGAAAAAGATGCTTGGGCCAGGCACGGTGGCTCATGCCTGTAATCCCAATGCTTTAGGAGGCCGAGGCGGGTGGATCACCTGAGGTCAGGAGTTCGAGACCAGCCTGGCCAACATGGAGCAACCTCGTCTCTACTAAAAATATAAAAAATTAGCTGGGCATAGTGGTTCGTGCCTGTAGTCCCAGCCACTGGGGAGGCTGAGGCAGGAGAATCGCTTGAACCCAGGAGGCGGAGGTTGCAGTGAGCTGAGATCTCTCCATTGCACTCCAGCCTGGGCGACAAGTGAAACTCTGTCTAAAAAAAAGAAAAAAAAAAAAAAGATGCTTGAAGTGATTCTTAAAACTGAGCTCATTACAAATAGAGATGTTTGTCTTTTAGGGATGGGACTCTTAGGACTTTGCTGGTTGGAAGGGACTTTCAGGGTCCAGCTTCCTAGATGGCCCACTGGATGTATGACTGCAGGGACAGAAAGCCGCTTTCCTCTAAGGCAGCCAGTTGCCTTGTTAGGCAGCTCTGACTGCTAGAATCTGTCTCCCTGTGGGTTTCTTCCAACCATCTGCACTTAACCTTTGGCATCACAAAGAACAAGTGTTGGCCGGGCGCGGTGGCTCAAGCCTGTAATCCCAGCACTTTGGGAGACCGAGACGGGTGGATCACGAGGTCAGGAGATCGAGACCATCCTGGCTAACACGGTGAAACCCCGTCTCTACTAAGAAATACAAAAAACTAGCCGGGCGAGGTGGCGGGCGCCTATAGTCCCAGCTACTTGGGAGGCTGAGGCTGGAGAATGGCGTAAACCCGGGAGGCGGAGCTTGCAGTGAGCTGAGATCCAGCCACTGCACTCTAGCCTGGGCTACAGAGCGAGACTCCGTCTCAAAAAAAAAAAAAAAAAAAAAAAAAGAACAAGTGTTGTCCTTCTGCTCCAAGACAACTCTCCAGGATTTTGAGGACAGTGATCCTGTTCCCACTGTGGTCTCTCCTTTAGAGCAGGGTTTCTCAGTCTCATCACTGTTGATATTTGAGGCTGGATAATTCTTTGCAGGGACTGTCCTGTGCACTGTAGGATGTTTAGCAGCACCCTGGTCTCTACCTATTAGGTGCTAGTAGCAACCCTTCGACCAAAAATGTCTCCAGATATTGCTCCATGTCCTCTGGGGGCAATATCACCCCCAGTTGAGGATTGCTGCTTTAGCTGAAGTATTTTCATGCTCCCTCTGAACCTTAGTTTCCTCCTCTGTGAAATGGAGCTAACCCCTACCTCACAGGGTTGTTATGAGGATGAAATGAAATAAGAGGTTATATGTGGAATCTGCCTTACCCCAAGGAGTACCTGGCCCACACAGTCAATGTGTAGACATCCCTCAGGTACTGAAACTGGTGTGTGTCCAGCTGTATGCTAGGCACTGGGTATGCCAGGATGAATCAGAATTAGTCCCTGTTCTCAGGGAGCTCACAGCCCAAAGGACCTAAAAAAGTGCTTTGTGTCATTATGCCATCCTGAAATCAAAACATTTCCTTTTATGAGCCACTTGCAGACCGCCTGAGGTGTTTGCAACCTGTGTTAGTTGAGTCCAGAGTGCCCAAGTACTCGACAAAGACGTTGGGTTGTTGAGAGGAAGACTTGTTAACTCTCTACATGGGTTCAGCAGAGATTGCCATTAAGTGCAGGCTCTGGTGAGGCCCGGTGACAGAACCCGACAACCAGACTCCTGCCTTCCAGTCCAGCAGGGGGTGATCACACACTCAGAGGACTAGCATAGCGCCTGACAAGGGAAAGGTACTGAATCATCATTCTGGAGCTCAGAAAAGGGGTTTACAAATCTCTGTGGGATGTTGGAGCAGGCTTCCTGGAGGGAGCAGGATTCAGTTAGTTCCTGGAAATGTGGTAAATGTCTGTGGTGCGTGGTCATTACATCAGGAACTTGCGTTTTCTTCCATGTCTCCCATTCTGTCCCTCAAGCTGTCATTCTCCCCAGCTTGTGGGCATGTGTATTTGTGTGTGTATGTCTGTTAATGGGGTGGGAGGGGAGGGTGGTTACCAGAAATAGGTGCCACGTGGAAATTCCCCACCCAAAACGCTGCCTCTTGTCTTTTTCCCACCCCTGCCAAAGGTCACCAAAATTTTCCAGAAGAAGAAGATCTTGGTGACGTACAGTTTCCGTCAGTCTTTCCCCCTCGTGGAAATGCACATGCAGCTCTTCCAGAATTCATGTGAGTCCCTTCTTGGATCCCAGCTCCCAAGAGTCTATGTCATGGCCCCCATGCTCACCCGTCATCTCTACCAGCTCCAGTTTTTGGAGTCCCTTACAACCAGGCTAAGGGTCTCCGAAGCACCTACTTGGTCCCAGGATGAGGGGCCAGCCAGGGTGGAGTATGACTCGGGTCTAGCCCCTGGTTAGCTCATAGTCTTGCAGAGAACCACAGTGCATGTGTTCTCTGGTGGGCCAAAGAGATGGTGATCACGCTGTGCTCTGAAGGATGAACCAGGAGGAGCTTTGTTTCATGGTACTCTGGGCTGCAGTAGCAATGTGAGTTGAGGTAGAGGTGAGAAGGAAAGAGTTTCAAGACAGCAGTGCAGAATTGTATGCCTTTACATCCTGCAGTACAGGAAGTAAGGGGGCCACAGCTACCAGGAGTTTGAGGGCTTTGGGGCAAAGGGGAGCTGCTAAATATGCTCAAATGGAGAAGAGGCATGATCAGAGTTAGACAGTAGAAAAATTATTTCATGGGCTAGGTGTGGCGGCTCACACCTGTAATCCCAGCACTTTGGGAGGCCAAGGCAGGAGGATTGCTTGAGCCCAGGAATTCGAAACCAACCTGGGCAATATAGTAAGACCCCATCTCTACTGAAAATAAAAAAATTATCTGCACATATGGTGCGTGCCCATGGTCCCAGCTACTCAGGAGGCTTGAGGCAGAAGGATCACTTGAGCCCAGGAGTTCAAGGCCGCAGTGAGCCATAATGACACCAGTGCACTCCAGCCTGGGTGACAGAGAGATGTTATCTCAGGAAAAAAAGAACAGAAAAGAAAAATTATTTTAGGTATGAGCCACCTCCACCAATCCCAACAGAGGTGCCCAGTCTCCCCTTTCTCCACAGATTACCAGTTTGGGATCAAGTTGCTGTCTGCAGTACCTGGTGGGGAGCGAAAAGTCCTCATCATCTTCAATGCCCCCAGCCTCCAGGACCGGCTGCGCTTTACATCCGACCTGCGCGAATCCATTGCGGAGGTGCAGGAGATGGAGAAATACCGTGTGGAGTGTGAGTAGCCCAGCCACGTCTCCTCCCCCATCTCCTGAAACAGTGCCCTGCAGAAACCAAGAATCCTATCCTCTGAGAATCTCAGAGTTGAGAGTTAGCTTGTCCAACCTTCCCATGCTCATTTCAAGAATTCTTCAGCCTCTGCTTGAATACCTTCAGTGACAAGGGGCTCATTACCTCCCAGCCCCATTATTATCCCAAACTCTAATTATGAGCCAACTATTCCTTCTAGTGAAAGGTATCAGGGAGAAGAATCAGAGTATTAGAGGTAGGACTGTAGTTTTAGGTCCCAGGTATGCTATTCGTTATCTGGGTGAACTGGAGCTAATTGCCTAACCCGCCTAGCCCCAGTTTCTTCCTACACGAATTTGGGATAATGAAGTCTCCTTCACGGAGTCAAGGAGATGAAATGAGACAAGGTAGCCGAAATGTCCCAACACATCTTAGGCATTCAAAAAATCTGTATTCCCTGTCCCACTCTCTCTCCTCCTCTGCCCACATATCAATTCCTGAGCTGAGTCCCAGTGGCCTATCCTCTCCAGGGGTCACACCAAGTCATTTTGATCATAGATATATAATGGAAAATAGTGATTACATCTCATTCCTCCCGATGCCCTCCAAGTTTTCTCTTCTCCAGGCTAAGCAGTCACAGTTAAGTAACATGGTGTTAAGGAGAAAGAGGCAGGCAGACAGAAAAAGAGAGACGAGGCGGCGGACAGCTCCTTGGTGAGGCCTTCACAGCTCCAGGGCCACTCTACTCCTCAGCGAGGCAGGGATAGAAGTTTCAGTTCACCAGATCCTTTGAGACCCTGGGAAAATCCTGAGAGAGGGATTAGCAGCCCAAGACGAGGGGAGGCCAGTAGACACGTGTTTCTATGAGCTCTGTGGGGAGGTGGGGCTGTAAGGAGGCCGGAAGCACCCAAGCTCTGGAATCAGGCAGACCTGCTTCTAGAATGTCGGCTCCGCCATTTCCAGCTGTATGACCCTGGGCAAGCTCTAAGACTTCTCGGATTCTCAGTTTCCTCCTCTGCACAATGTGGATGCTAATACTGACCTCAGAACTGTTGTGAGGATTGAGAGAGATCAAGTATGTGTAGCACCCAGCATACTGCCTGGCACTTAATAGAGGATTTGATTCCTGTCAGTTTCCTGCTCCTGCCCTTCCAGGAGCCCCTCTGCTCTGGAGCAAGGTATCTGAGAACTGACTGAACTCTGGAAAGATTGCCCTTTGCCATAGGCTAGAAGGGCCTTCCCGTCCTTACTGTGAACCATCTGCCATGAAGCTCTTTTTTGAAGGGCAGGGGTGCTTTGAGAGACCTGACTGCAAGAGGGCATGGGAGGGGAGAAGTCATAAGAGTGAAAGGAAGGGAAATGGAACAGGGAGAGCAGGCACCAAGAGGGATGAAGGGAAGGCTGAGCAGGAAGGGAGGGTGCAAGACGGGAGCTGGGCACTAAGGGTACTTCGGTGATGGAGCTGCAGTTTTGGGGGAGACAAGGGCTGGTCGTCCAAGGGGCAAAACAGGAAGCCTGGGGACAGAGGGAGGGAGGAGGGAGGAGGAAGGAGGAAGGAGGACGGAGGGCTAGGGTCAGTCAGATGGGCTCTCACTCCTGTTCCTGACCTTTGCTCCCTGTCTCCCCGACTGCCACCCAGCGGAGCTGGAGAAGCAGAAAGGTATGATGCGGCCTAACGCCTCACAGCCTGGAGGGGCCAAGGACTCAGTGAATGGGACGATGGCCCGCAGTAGCCTGGAGGACACTTACGGGGCAGGCGATGGGCTCAAACGGGGCGCACTCAGCAGTTCCCTGCGAGACCTCTCTGATGCAGGTAAGCCCTCTGGGCCCCTGCCCTGGCTGGGGAGACACGGGACCAGGTGTCCTCTTTGCCTCCTGTCACTGGCCACCAGCCTTCCCTCCACCTGCCACACACACACGCACCCTGCCTTCACCCAGAGTCCTGGGCGCTGCGCCACAGGGGGCCTGGGAGCCAGGTCAGAGCAGGGGGAGCCCAGCGTTTGGGCCAGGGAATGTGAAGTGGGGCCATAGTCTTGGTGCCTCTCTCTTGCTGCTCCACCTCTCCTCCTCTTCTCCCTCTTCTGTCTCTCCTGTACCTCCACTGCTCCTTCTCCATCTTTTCCTCCTCTCTCTCCTCCTTCTCCACCTCTCCTCCTCCCCACCTCCCCCTCCTCAATGGGGGAAAGGGATAATGGGGTGTCTGTCCCCGGGAGGGGCCCAGGCCTGGTGCCCAGCTCTGGAGCCCAGCAGGGTAGGGAGGGGGGGTTGCTGCTCTGACGCTGGGCTCCTTGCTTGTGGGTGCAGGGAAGCGGGGGCGGCGTAACAGCGTGGGATCGCTGGACAGCACCATCGAAGTAAGTGCCAGCTCCTGCCCCACTCGTCCTCTGCATGAGCCCTGCCCCGGCCATGGAGACCCAGAGGAGGAGGGGACCTGTTGCTCCCCCCTTCCCTGCTGAGAACCGTGCGGCTGCCTCTCCCAGCCAACCACTCTCTCCATCTGTCCTCAACTCTGTCTGTCCTCATTCTGCCTGTCTCTCAGCCTGTCTTCCACTCTCCCGTGCCCCCTCTCAACCCCAGGGCCGACGGCGAGTAGGGATGCCCTTGGAGTTGGGCCACGAGAAGCTCTTACCTCCAAGTCCTGCTCTTTGACCCTGGGCGAGTCACTCTGCCTCTCTGGGCCTAACCTTTTCCCTGCCTGCAAAATGGGGATGAGGAGGAGGTACTGCTAATTTCTCCTCTCCCAGCTGAGGCTCAGATGAGATAGTGGATGTGACAGCCGAGCTTTGCAAGCTGGGGAGCTCCACATATGAGTACAGGACTGTGATTTGGTTTTTATTACAACTTGGGGTTCGCTATCTCCCCAGCTCCAGCCCTCAGGGACAGGGGTGGAATTTAGGGCTGGGGGTTTAGGGCAGCTAGCCTGGTCTGACTTCCCCCCTCCCCCCTTCCAGGGGTCTGTTATTAGCAGTCCACGCCCTCACCAGAGGATGCCACCTCCGCCCCCACCCCCGCCGCCAGAGGAGTACAAGAGCCAGAGGCCCGTCTCCAACTCCTCATCCTTCCTGGGCTCCCTATTTGGAAGCAAGCGGGGCAAGGGGCCCTTCCAGATGCCACCACCGCCAACAGGCCAGGCCTCTGCCTCCTCTTCATCTGCTTCTTCCACGCACCACCACCACCACCACCATCACCACGGCCATAGCCACGGTGGCCTGGGGGTGCTGCCTGATGGGCAGTCCAAGCTCCAGGCCCTGCATGCCCAGTATTGCCAAGGACCAGGCCCTGCCCCGCCACCCTACCTCCCACCCCAGCAGCCCTCTCTTCCCCCACCTCCCCAGCAGCCCCCACCCTTGCCCCAGCTAGGCTCCATTCCACCGCCTCCCGCCTCAGCCCCACCTGTGGGGCCACATCGCCACTTCCACGCCCATGGCCCAGTCCCAGGGCCCCAACACTATACCTTGGGCCGGCCAGGCAGGGCACCCAGACGGGGAGCTGGAGGACACCCTCAGTTTGCTCCACATGGCCGCCACCCCCTGCACCAGCCCACATCCCCACTGCCCCTGTACAGTCCTGCTCCCCAGCACCCTCCAGCCCACAAACAGGGCCCTAAGCACTTCATCTTCAGCCACCACCCACAGATGATGCCAGCAGCAGGCGCGGCTGGGGGCCCTGGATCCCGGCCACCAGGGGGCTCCTACTCCCACCCCCACCACCCCCAGTCACCATTGTCACCGCACTCACCCATCCCGCCCCACCCCTCCTACCCACCCCTTCCCCCACCCTCCCCCCACACCCCGCACTCACCCCTTCCGCCCACCTCCCCCCATGGCCCGCTGCACGCCTCTGGGCCCCCTGGCACAGCCAACCCCCCCAGTGCAAACCCCAAGGCCAAGCCAAGCCGGATCAGCACCGTGGTCTGATGAATGGAGAGAGTGAGCTGGGGAACAGGAAAGTCTGGGGAACCACAGGAGAGGGACCTTACACCCTCTTTGCTTCCTCGGTTTTTTCAAAAATATATATACACATAGCAATGTCCTCCTCCCCATGTCCTCCCTGCCTTGGGACCCGTCCCCTCACCCCCAGCAGTTGCCATGGGGTTTCCTTCCAGATTCGAGGATCCTTGCCACTTGAAGCCTGGACTCAGGGTGCTCCAGCGCTGGGGAGTGGTGAGGGCCTTCCAGAGATCCTCGTTCTCTTTCTCCTGTCTTCTTCTTCCCCACTTTTCCCTGGAGGTCTAGCTCTGTGGCCTCAGACCTCTGGGCCTGTGTGAGCTCCCTGTCAGCTCTGGCTGGCGGAGAAGGGCAGGTGTCCAAAGCTGTCGAGGTGAAGGCTTCCTCGGGGCTCCTCTGGCCGTGTGGGGCTAGGAGAGTGCTCTGTAGAGTTGTGGTCAAACCTCAGCTGGCTTGGCCCTCTCTCTGACCTCAGGGCCTGGCCACACACTTCCATGTGTCTTTTTGCCTGCTGGAGGACACGGACTGTCGATGCACTCGGTGGGTGGGACCCTGCTTATGTTGGCCCCACGTGGGGCAGTGCTTCCTCTCTCGAGCCAGTCTATGCCCTTTCTCCAGTAGGCCCCAGCCCAGACCTCTTCGGCTTCAGGAACTTGCCTCGCCCTGCAACGTTCTTATCCTGATCGAAGTCCAGACAGGTTTTGGGGGGGCTCAGGTCTGGGATGAGAAGGGCACTGCCCTTCCTCACCCATATTGCATGCCCCCCCATTCCCTTACACCTACCCCACCTACAACTGAAGACAATGCACTTTACAGATATCGCCCACACACACCGCGCTGGGGCAGGGCACCCAGCATCAGCCCTGGGGAGAGAGGCTCCCAAAGGGCCACCATGAGCCCAAGATGTCCTTCCTGAGGCAGAGATTGAAGCCATCAGAGCTGGGGTTGGGAGCCAGAATGCCTGAGTCCTTCTGTCCATCAGAATCTCCGCTGCCTCTCCAGCCCTTTTGCAGCCCTGTTTATTTATTATAAATATATTTTTTACAAGCCCCAGCTCCTCTTCTTGCCCCGCATATCCAGCTCCTCACTCAGCTCCTGTCTCCCTCTCCCCTCTCCACCATGGGCTACAGTACAGACAGACAGAGGGACCCTGGCTGTACGAAGGGCCAGGGCCACTGGGGCTTGGGGGCGGGGGAGGGTGACAGTGGAAGGGGCTGTATGGAGAGGAGCTGGGGTACAGGCATTGTCTTTTTTCCTCCTTGTATATAAGAATGTATATTTGATGCCTCATAAAAGACCTTGTGCTCACCTCCTGCCTCTGCCTCCTACTTCTGCGCCCCTTCCCCACTGTGGAGCCCGTGGAGAGAGGCCTTAGCCCAGGGAGGTGATGCGCTAATGTTAGAAATTCAGGCACCCGGGTGGATGAGATGCTTTGCTTGGAGGGAGGTGGGAGTGAGGGAGGTTTTTCTATCTCATTTCATGCAGTTTGCGTGACAGAGTGGCAAGAGTATGGGCTTTGGAGTTGATCCAGTTCACATCCCGGGGTTTTCATTCCTAGGCATATGAATTCGGGAGAGTCACCCTCTCTGAGTCTCCGTTTCCTCAGTGTAAAACTTGGGCTGATAAGCCGTTGCCACATGGAGATGATGATGATTCCCAGGAGTAATGGATGCCAAGGAGCCAGGATAGAGCTGAGCAAGTTAGTTCCCTTCTCTTCCTTTCATAGGATGGATGCTTCCTTCCACTCTTGGGGCATCTCCTCTCACCCTGGATGTGGCTGGCCTGGCCTGGCTTGGGAGCTTCTCCCTCATCCCCACAATGGCTGGCCACATTTCTATCCTTGAGGGTGGGAGAGTGATTTGGAAGGCACAGGGCTAGATACATTTTAAGAGCTCTGCATATATACTTGGGATGTTAGATAACAAATAGCTGGACTCCCTTTCATTTACAGAAAAGAGGACAGGCTGAGAGAAGGGAAGAGTCTCTCCCAAGGCCACTCAGCAAGTCAGGATGGGGTTTCCTGACTTCTAGCCCCAGGGCCCTTTCCAGTCCTCCCAAACCTCTTCCCTCTGAAACGGACGTGTTTCTAGCATCACTGATTATGTCCTGGATCTTAGCCTAGCGCAGGAGAAGTGGGGTTGAGCCATGGTTCTTGGTTAAAGTCAGCAGGCTCCCCAGAAGCAGCATTCAGTCACTATTTTTGCTGCCTTCCTAGAATCTGGAATGGCCTCTAAAAGGGAATGGTTTGGATGGCCTCGCTCTTAGCAGTTCGGACCAATTATTTGTTTTCTTCCTTGTATGCATGTTTAAAGGTGTCCCAGGGAAGACAACTAGCAAAAGCAGCAGCTGGGGCCACCTACACATTTGATGCTGCCTTATGGACCAGACGTGAGGGTTTGAAGAGCTTAGACCCACAAGGTCCTGAATCAAGTCCAATCAACATTTTTTAGTTCTCTTCCCTGCTGGACCAAGCTGCACGATCGTTTCCCTACCTTCAGCTTGATTCTGGTCGCATTTTTCCAAAGCTCAGCTTTTAGCACTCAAATCCTGGCTCAGTGACTTGCCTGTGCTGCATTTGGCAAGTCACCTAACCCTTCAGAGCCTGGCTTTCCACCTGTAAGATGGGGATAATAACCTTGCAGGACAGTTAACAGATGCATGTGAAGTGCCTACCTCATGGCCAGACACACAGTAAGCCACCTACAGAGACCACTTATCTTTACATGGGAGGTGTTCCACAAGGTGGCCCAGCCAATCTCTGTGGTCCTAACTCTCATTCCTCACCCACACATTGGCCATCCACTTACTGTTCCCCAAAAATGCCTCTCTGTACTTTCCAAACTCAGCATTTTACTTGTGCCTTTCCCCCCTGCCACGATACTCCCCCCAACATCCCTGATGAAGGTTTTCCCAACCCTTGCAAGATGGGCTTGAAGAACCCATCCTTCACAAAATGTGCCCTTCATCACATTCTCTGAGATCCTTCCCCACCATACCTTAAGTGGCGTGGGAGTGACACTGGTCTGAATCATCCCCATCCAGAGCATTGCCCCATATAGTGCCTGGCACAGCACAGATGGTACTAAAATTTTGTTGATCGAATGAATGAACGAACGGTTCTTTCTAAGTCTCAGAGTTAGATATCTTTGCATTAGTTGATTTACTGATTGATGCAACCTGTGTACCAAGTTTCCAGGCCCCTCTGGGAGCTCCTCATGCTTTCTTCAACTGTTTCCTAAATTCTCCTCCTCCAGTCCTCATTGCAGTCCCAGCGCTGGGCTGTCTGTGCTCCTCACCCCCTCCACCCCTCCAGAAATGCACTGTCCAGACTGTGGAGGGGTAGTTAATCTCCTCACTTCCCCATTTCTCTGAGGACCTGAAGACAGCAAGCCTATTGACTATTCTTACATCAAAGGTGCTGCTGCCAATCTCTCTGGGGATACAGATGGGGAGAGACAACACATAACAAAGAACAGAATTGCTTGAACCCGCGAGGCGGAGGTTACAGTGAGCCGAGCGAGATCGCGCCAATGCACTCCAGCCTGGGTGACAGAGGGAGACTCTGTCTCAAAAACAAACCCAACCAACAAACAAACAAACACAAAGGACAAAGGTCCTAGAATCTCAGAGTTCTTATGTTTGTTCTCCAGTGCTGTCCAGTAAGGTCTGTCTGTGATAAGCAAAATGTCCCATACCTGTGCTGTTCAATATGGTAACCACTAGCCACATGTGGCTACTGAGCACTCAAAACGTGGCTAGTGCAACTGAGGAACTGCACTTTTCATTTTATTAAATTTAAATGTAAATAAATAAGCACATGTGGGTAAGTGGCTACCACGTCAGACAGTGTAGGACAAGAGTTTCAGGAGTGGACAGATAGCCTGGTGGGGATAATGTGAAGATGATAAAGTAAGTACACGCCCAGAAGGAAGCCCTGGGTGTGTGGGAACACAGAGGAGGGGAAAACCCAACTTGGGGTGTGTGGGTGGGGTCAGGCATCGTTTTCTGGAGCCCCCCCTTTTAGTGGAGTAGTCCTGAAGGGTGAGTAGGACTTAGCCTGACAGAGAAGGGCATTTGTTAGAGGGAGCAGCGCATGAAAAGGCCTGGAGGTGTGAGCGAATGCAATGTGTTAGTAGCACAGTAAGAAAGGAATGGGAACTGGAGCTCCAGCGGTGGGCACAGCACATGGTGCAGCGTGGAGACAGGCAGGTCTCCCCAGCTGCTCCCTGTTACTCTGTTGCCAACAGGTTTCTCACGCTGGCCTCAGCAGCAGCTAAAGTAAGACCAGGTAACAAATTGGGCTATCTAATATCTCCACTGTAAAGTTACCACTTTCCCCATTGTAGTGGATGAGTATCTTGTGGAGAGATGAATGGAAATGTTGTTACTCTCAAACTTCCACTCACTAGTTTTAGCGTTCACTGGAACAATTATTATGGCTGGGGTTGTCAAATGGTGATTTTCAAATGCCATCATTCTTTCAATATGTTTTTTTTTTTTCTTTTTTGAGGCAGGGTCTCATCCCATTGCCCAGTGCAGTGATGCAATCATAGCTCACTGCAGCTTCGAACTCCTGGGTTCAAGTGATCCTCCCACCTCAACCTTCCATGTAGCTGGGACCACAGCCACACACCACCACGCCCAGCTAATTAAAAAAATTTTTATAGAGATGGAGGTCTTGCTAGGTTACCCAGGCTGGTCTCAAACTCCTGGCCTCAAGCAGTCCTCCCAAAGTGTTGGGACTATAGGCATGAGCCACTGCACCCGGCCTGGGCATATCTTAGTTGGCTTTCCACTATAAGGGAGGGCTTTCCCTTCTACATGTATTTATTTATATCCTTATGGACTTAATGATTGTTTATTTCACTCAATGGTTTATATATAACCCATTAACATCATTCTTTATTTTGATATTCACAACCCCAGATTTGGCCAGTAAGAAGCCCTCTAAGCCCCTGTGTCCTGTGGCACATCTCCATCTTTTTATGAGCCCTTCCAAGGAGCCCTGGTTTTTTTTTTTTTTAGTAGAGAATGACATTTAGAAACCAAGATTTGGGCACTAGGTGTTACAGCAATATTTGAAGAGCTTGCTCTTTTATTTTGTAAAGGTTTGAGCATCCATTGATGATTTTCTAGCTCCATCATTCCTTCTATATAATTTAGAATTCTACTTTCCCTTTTCTCTCACTTTATTTACTTATATCAATGTGGAGTCATGGATTTTTATTTTAACCAGTGAGTTGTAATCCACTACTGTCATAATTCATTTTGAATTAACATTATTTTGGATAAATCATTTTGTTGTTATGTATATGTATTAAGCACATACTATACATCTATATTTCTATACCAGACATCGATATTTCTCTCTCTGCCTCTGTCTAATAAACCATGAGTTCACACAGATACCTTGAGGAGGCTCTTTTAAGAGTAAAGGCTAGAGATAGTAAACGGCTCACAAGAGGAGTGGAAGATGGCGAGGAGGAGGGGATGGATTCTAGAGCTATTTAGGAATCAGAACCAACAGCTCAAACCTACTTCAGAACTGGAAGAGACCATATTTTACAAACCAAAAAAGTGAGACACAATGTCAGTGTCGCCCAGTTGATACACAAAACACGAATGGGGTGAGTGTGGTTTTGAGCCCAGATGAGCCTTCCAGTCACTGCTCTGCACCAACTCCATGTCAGACCCTGTCTCCCAGGTGGATAGGTGAGGCCAAGCCAGCCCCCAGCCTGGGGTGAGCTCCTTGATGCATCCCAGTTCTTAAGTCCGCAGCGCCTAGACTCTGGTTGGCCCCCAGCAAGACCCATGGCTTGGGGAACAAACCCATTTCCTGAATGCCTTACTACATTGGGAGCACCATCTGAGACTTTTACAGGTAGAGTTGTACGACAGTCAGACAGACCTGAGTTTGAGTTCTGGTCCTGCATTTACTAGCCATGTGAGGTGAATAAGTTTATACTTCCCTGAGCTTCAGTTTCCTCATCTGTAGGATGGGGATAACAATACCTACTTCATAGCACCTGGCCCTTGATGAATGGCAGTCATCATTATCTCTAATCCTCCTAACAACACTGTGAGGAAGGGATTATTTAGCTTCATTATATAAAGGAGAAAAGGCTCAGGAAGGTGAGGTAGTTGGCAGATCTCAGTGGGTGCATGTCAGCTCCAGGAAAGTAGAGACTACGTCTGTCTTGGTCACCATTATATTCCCAGTGCCCAGAAAATTTTCTGGTGCATAATAGAAATTTAATAAATATTTGTAAACGAATAAATTCTATCTCATTGGCTTCAAAGACTACGTGATTTCTATTTAATTTTCCAGGACAGGGATGTGTCTGGGCTAAAGTACCTCAAAGAAGCCTGTAGGAAGACTGTGCAGAGCTGAGACCCAAAATCTGGCCTCCTGATTCCTGATTCATGCTCTTTGTCCTTCCCTGAACTGCCTCTGGATGGAAAGGCTGAACTTCCTTCAGCCTAGGATCTACCGTATTCTCCCACCTTCTAGATTCTCCTCATCCTTCTCTGGCCAGGCCTCTGCCTCCTTTTCATCTGCTTCTTTCACACACCACCACCACCATCACAGTCACAGCCACGGTGGCCTGGGGGTGCTGCCCGATGGGCAGTCCAAGCTCCAGACCCTGCATGCCCCATATTGCCAAGGACTGGGCCCTGCCCCACCACCCTACCTCTCACCCCAGCAGCTCCCTTTTCCCTCACCTCCTCTATTCCTGGTGAGGGCAAACGACAGGAAGAGCATTTGACCAGAGTCAGCAACTTCCTGTGTAACATTGGGCAAGTTGTTTAATCTTTCTGAAACTTGGTTCCTCATCTACAGACTGGGTAAATTCACCTACATCTTTCCGAAGACTGTTGCAAAGACTAAGGGAAATAATTGGCATGAACTAGCCATGTAGGCAATTAGATGCTTATCCATGTGAGAGGCTAGTGATATTACTGTGATTAGCATCATTTTGCCTAGCTTTCCTGCTTCCTGTCCAGACAGCTGTTCAGTTGGACCATCCACCTGTGTTTCTGGTGGAGAGGGGCTGAGGTTTCCCCTGACACCTAGAAAACTAGAAAGATGTCACTTAATATCTTTGTTACTTGGGACAAGTCTCCACACGAGCCAAGTGGGGATAAAGATCTTGAGCACTGAAGGTAATATAAGGATTCAGGTGATAAAAAAAATATAAAAGCACTAGCACAGTGTCTGACACAAAGGAGATTCTTAATGAGTTTTGGCATATTGGTTGTTGACTCTCAGAAATAAAAATAACAGCTACCAGATACTGAGGGCCTGCTATGTGCCAAGTACACAGCAATACTGCAAGGTATGTAGTATCCCCATTTCAGTTACAGAAGTTGGGACTTGTTCAAGGTTACAAACTAGAAAATGGCAGAGCTCGTGGGACTGTAAGGCATGACTCTTTGAGCCCAGGGCATGAGCTCCTACCTGTGTGCCCTGTTCCCTCAGCTAGGATGTCTTTAGCTCAGTCCTGAAGTAGGCAGGATGGACCTAATTGGCACAGTATCTGATTAGGAACAGTTAACTGCACGAAGGTATGACACTCCCTACCTGCCTTAAGCTTACAGTGGATGTTTAATATGTTAAACAGGAAATGTTTGCAAAAAGTATACATATTTTTCAGTCAATATATGCTAAGGACATTTATTCATTTTTCTTTTGTTTACTCAACATTAATTTACTGCTTAACACACCAAGTGCTAAGGAGGTATAAGGCCACATGGTCCCTGCCCTTGAGGAATTCATAGTCTGATGGGGGAAAACAAAATTACTTAATCAGCATGTACACAAGTACTCAAATATTTGCACAGTAGGTGTTCAAACTACATGCAGTAGGTCCACAGCTGATGAATGACATAGATGATCCTCCAATCAGTAGATGTCTGATGTATGTGTACAAAGTACTGGTTTGATACTCATTCAAAGTACTGTAGTTGCAATGAACCTATTCAGAAACTGCTCAAGGAACATGCACACAATAGGACTAAATGTACATACAGTTGGTACCAAATGCACAGGGGCTATACACAATAAATACAATCAAAGTACACGGATGTTTGGAAAGTACACTGCAGGCTCACAAATGGGCAAACAGGTGTTTTACACAGTAGACACTGAATAAATACGCCGTTGCTAAATATCTAATAGTTAAACAGGCTTATTTTGTCGGAGTGTATGCAACAAATGTGTACACGGTAAAAGTGAATACAGAAGAGTTGAAAGCATTCATTAAAATGCTGACTCCCAGTGACTTTTGGGGGGTAAGAATCGAAACCCCATCGCTCTACCTGTAACCTTGGATGAAATAAAGATTTCCTCCTTTACTTGGGACTCAGGAGTCTAAAAATCCATAATCCCCGGGGAGTAAGCAGCTTCCTGCCTTCCTTATTTCAAAGCCCCAGAGGTGTCAGTGTCTAGAGCTGGAGCCTAGTACATCTCCCCCCACCCCGCGGGCCAGCAGAAGGGGTCCTTTGCAATCAGGCTCCCAAAGCCGCCTTCCGCAGCCCACACCGGTACGACCAGGGAGAAGGGACACAGAACGCTGGTGCCCGGATAGCGACCCGGTTGAGGTCTGCGAGGGAGTGCCGGTTTGGCTCCACCACCCACGGACACGAGCTCCTCTTCCGGTCTCCATAATGCGCATGCGCATCACTGGCCTTTAAACGTGCACCGCCGGTCCATCCGGAAAGAGGATCCGGCAAACTAATTACAATCTTGTTCCTCCGCCGTTGCAATGAACTATTTTCTCTCAATCGGGGGTGGTACTTTTGAGTAACCCCTTCCAAATAGAACCCATAGCAGCCTATTTAGCTCGGTCTCCACTATATGAAGATTTCCTAGGGCTTGGTGTGACGCAAGGTATACGAGGCTCGGAAGGACACCGCGCGGAAGGATCCGGTTTGTTGTGGTGTGGGGAGGGGGAGACGCTGACAAACCAAGATGGCGGCGGCGGCGGCGATGAAGGCCGCGGTGTTTGGGAGGTAACTGTGGTGGCGAAGGCTGCGGTAGTGGGGAGGCAACGACACAGTTTGGAAGAAACGGAGCAGGACGAAGAGGCGGTAGCAGTAGCGTCAGCTTGAGACTCTCAGAGCACGACGGCCACACGCCCCCCTAGGCCCTCGGCGGGCGGCGGCTGCCCCGCTTAGGGCCTAGCCTCCGAGCATTGCCTCGGCTTCAAACAGCGGCGGCGCCATGAGTCCTTAAGGGCGGTCCAAGCCCTCCTGATCCCTGGCCCAGACCTAGGGCCCACCATGGAGCCGGGGTCCGACGATTTCCTACCGCCGCCGGAGTGCCCAGTGTTCGAGCCTAGCTGGGCCGAGTTCCGAGACCCTCTTGGCTACATCGCGAAAATCAGGCCCATCGCAGAGAAATCGGGCATTTGCAAGATCCGCCCACCTGCGGTAAGCCCCGGGGCCGGTTTTCGCCGGCGGCGAGACGGGGAATGAAGCAGTAGGATAGCCAGCGGCGAAGTCTGGGGCGGAGGGCAGCTCGAGGTGGGGAGAGTGGGTGGCTGGGACCGTTGTGGATGCGGCGCGGATCGGAAAAAGGGTGTTGGGCCAGGGGTCCTCTCGTTGTGTGAGGCCCACGGGTGACCTGGAGTCAGAGATCTACCCCCACTCCGGCTCTTCAGAATCACTCTTGGTTTAAGACCGGGATTCCTAGTGGGCCGGAGGGAGTTCACAGAGAGGCACCCCGCACATCTCTTAGTTAGCCCGGGCCACCTAGGTCGAGGCTGTAAAAATAAGGCGTTTCTCCAATCTGTTGTCATCACTTCCCTTAAGGCACGCAGCATGGTATAGTATTAGTAGAAAGATCGCAGCCCTGAAGGGAGACAGACTTGAGTTCAAAACTCCACTTTGAAGCTTAGCAGCTGTGTGACCTTGGGAAAGTAGAAGTAATCTCTCCGAGCCTGTGAAATGGGTCCCAGGAATGGTTATTTAGAGGATTGAATTAAACTAGGTAGCGTCTGTATGTAGTAGGCACTAGATAAGTGGTAATTATTGTGACTGTGAGGGTGTTTGATGTGGTCATTGGTTATTCCTATGTAGGTTGACTCATATTTACTCATACCCTGCCAGGCCAATTCATCTATGATAATATCCTGGCCTGCTGGACCAGTCAGGAAATCAGTCTCACAGGGATTGCTCTGTCTCCCTTGAGGTGGGTTCAGGGAATTGTCCTCTTATTTTCCCCATCGAAGGCAATGTCAAGGCCTTTTCTGCACATCATCCCGCAGACTTGACTTCCTATGGAGATGTTTGGACCAGTCAGCTTGGTGGTGGGGTGTGAGTCCTTCTCAGATTTCTACTCTGTTCTGGTCCAGGATGTAGGAGATCCCAGAGGATAGGGCACTCTTGGGCCCCCAGAACAGAATGGAGCCATGGAATTCTGTCCCCTTTGGAACATGATTCACAGGGGTCAGCAACAAAGGCCATAGCTTTCCTCCTAGGCCTGGCTTCAGGCTAGAAGTCCCTCAAGGGCTAGGGCAAGCTGCTGCCTTGCTGGTATGGTGGAAAAATGATGATAATGTTCAGTGATCACTTGGGATTCCAAGCGCAGAAATTGAGCTTTGCTGGAAAAGGGTGTTTTTGAGTGGGTGTCTCCTGGCTGAAATGGAATAGGAAGCTTCATTCCTACCTGAGGAGGGCACCACAGGCCTTCTTATCCAACTTGGTGCTTTCTGGTGCTCAGCCACAGATCTAGGATGGTTTCAGATAGATCTTCTAGGAGGTGTTGGGTAAGCTAATTTCTTCCTTCTTGGAGTCTGGCCATAGATTTCTGAGGTATCCTTGTCCATGGTGAGGGAGTGGCAGTGGGTAGAGGGTCAGGAAGGCTAGTGGAAGGGAGAGGCAGGAGTCCTGGGCAGCCTCAAGGAGGCACTCCCTGAAGTAGTTGGGCAAACCTGTGGGAAAAAGAGGCGTAGGTGACATGGGGGTAGTTGAGGCCTGAATTCCTTTTTTTTCTGTCTTGGACTGACTTAGGCAGGCTGGCCTTGTGCCGGTGTTGTTATCCTGCTTTGGGGGATCAGGAAGGGAAAGAATGACATGTCCCAGGTGTGCATGGCCAGCAGGAAGCCATCCTTTATTTTGCTTCTTTTCACTGGTCAACAGTGTGCTTCCCTCTAATCCAGGATACCTGGCTGTCTGGTTTGGTTTGGTGTTTTCCTTCTCTATGGCTGCTCGTAGGACACCTTTAGGCAGCTGGCCTTCTTCTGGTTGAAGTTTGAAGTACTTGCTCAAGTGATGCTTGGGCCCAGGGTGGGAACCTGTATATGGGTGGGTGCCTGGGAATTGGAGGTTTGCTGGAGGAAGGATGGTTTCGGACCTGAATTGCTGGGCAGGTGACTGCTATGCCTGGGAAAGATGGGTGGGAGGAGAGTTGTGGGTACCCTGAGTAGACCCAGGGGAGTTTGGAGGGATCTTACTTTCTTCATCAGGTAGCCAACCTTTTTTATCACCACATCCCAGTAATACCAACATACTGAGCATTTGGCATACAGTAGTCTGGAAATGAAGGCAGGCGGTTTGTAGGGCCTTCCCAGGTATCTGTTGCATCCATGGCTCCTGCTGTAGCATTCCAGGGCTGCCATTTCCTGTCAGGTGCTGATTGTCTAGAATTTGATTCAGCAGGAAAGAAGAGTGCCCGGAGTTTGGGGTTTGAGCACCTTTTTAGCTGGGTTACCTGTGCTGAGGGGACTGCCCTATCCTGATGAGAGGCAGGCGGGCACGGGGAGCTTGTCTGGATTTGAGCCATACCATTTTGGCCTGCGTTTGTTTTTTTTTTCTTTTTGGTCCCTGCTTACTGAGCCCCAGATATTTGCCACCTGCTTTGGCTGGTAGGGGAAGGGGCGTGTGGTCTGTGTATGCATGCAAGTATGAGTCCTCTAGCCCATTTTCTAAAAGTGTGTGTGCAGAAGAGGTCAGCAGATTTTCTTCTCTTTTACTGTCTCCCCCCCACCCATGTGTATGCATATATGTATGAACACTGGTGTCCGGTGTAGTGCAAAGGCCTTGGATCAGAGGTCAGAAGACGTGGGTTCTTGGCTCCGCCACTAACTCAGCATGTAATTTTGGAAACTTCACTTTTTTTTCTCTGAGCCTCACTTTCCTTGAGCATTGATTTAGGTTACTTTAGGTTCATTTTGCCAACCCAGCAGGAACCAGGGCTCTGGGAAGGAGAGGACTGCGTAGGAGGTTGGAAAGGGGTGTTGGAGAGTGGGTTCTTCACAGCTGACCTTTGGGCAGGACACAACAAGCTCCAAATTGGCAGGGCAGAGTTTCTCCCACTTTCATGATTCTTACCTGACTTCCCTCCCCAAATCCTCCCATTCTTTGCCACCACGGTCAGGCATCCCAGCTCTTACCCCCACCCCCTGGAGCTCCCTCCCCTGCCTCTTCCTGTACCAGGCAGGTGTATGAGAGAGGATCCACAGGAAGCCTTCCAGACTGGGTGAGTGATACACGTACTTGCTCCCTGTTCCTTGCTCTTCCCTGCAGTGTCTGTCTCAGGCCCTTAAACTGAGAGAACAAACATTAAAGGGCCAAACCTTTACGTCCTGCCAGAATCGGAGCTAAGCTACCCTGCATGTGTATTGTGAGGTGTGGTCAGCCTTACACGTCAGGTCATAACGATGACTTCTTTGAATAACATTTTCATTTGAAAACTAGTTTTAATTTTTCTTATTGGTCTTGTGTGGAAGCCAGGGCTAGAGTTCATATTCCCACCTCACAGATGAGAAAACAAATTCAGAAAGCTAAAATGTCATAGCTAGTAAGTAGCAGATCTAGAATGTGAACCCATGTCTTCTGACTCTAGATCCTGTGTGCTTTCCAGTACTCCCAGGCCTGTGTGTCCTACAGCACATGCCTAGGGGATAAGGAGTTAATGTGGGTGTGGAGAAGGTTTAGGGTCAACAAAACAGAGGCTCCATCTCTTAATTTCTTGAAATCCTGGCACTGTACTGTTGGGTGGGACTCAGGAGAAGTTTCCTAGGGCATGTGCATGGGGCCTTGGGTGTGGACTTGAGGGCTGCTAGACTCTTGTGAGTTCTAGGGGGAGGTAGGGGTGGGTGGTTGGGTAGGATGTTTGCAGGTTAAAGGGTCTGGAGTGGCTAGAGGTCTGGGAAGGTGCCAGTGAGATTCCGAGCTGCTTTTGGTGAGTTCGGTCTGACACTATGCTAAGATAACTCAAGTCCCTTTCCCCTCTCTACCCTCTCAGGACTGGCAGCCACCCTTTGCTGTGGAAGTGGACAACTTCAGGTTTACCCCCCGAATCCAGAGGCTGAATGAGCTAGAGGTGAGAAGACTAGGAGCTGGTGGTGGGGTTGGGAGAATGGATACCTGAGTTCTAATCCCACTTCCCTTATAGTTTCTCCGACTGAGGTACTTTACCTAGCTAGGCCTTTATTCTCTCTTCTGTGAAATTGCATTACTTTAGTGTGCCCAGGGCATGGAAGAAGCTTTAGAACTCTGAATATAACCAAGAGCCAGGGGCATTTAGCATTTGTGATTTGATAGCCTAAAGGCTAGGCACATATATCTCTTTCTCACAAAGGTTTGTTACTTCTGAAGCTCCCCTGTGAACTAGCCTACCCTAGCTGAGTCAACAAAAAGGAAATATGGAACTGGCTGATACCCCTTCTTCCTTGGCCAGCTGAATGTGGCTTCATATATCCAATTCATCCACAGCCCTGTGCTTTCTACTTTCCTTCCATGGGTGCTTGGTAAGGTGGGAGTTTAGGTAGATGGGCAGAACAACACAAGAACTGGGCTCTGTGGAGGCTGGAATGGTTAGAGACTTGGCCAGGGGTCAGGCAGGTAGGATTTTCCTTCTCCCTTTTGTTCTGTACAGGAAGTCCAGGCCCTTTTCACGGACAGGTGGGGTTTTCCCTGCTTGAGAATGCCCTGGGGTAGTGAGATTAGGCTCACTGAAGCCATTTCCACGTAAGATCCTGGAGTTTTCCATGGAAGCTCTAGGTTAGGCATATGCTGCCACTGCCTCCCCCATTATTATGTACCCACAAATCTTACTAGATGTCCAAGGGGTGGGGATTAGGCCCAGCCCAGCTGAATACTTACACCCTAGAAGTTCACTTGTGTTCTAGACCAGAGTTCCTCAGCCTCGGCACTATTAACAGTTTGGGAAGCTAAGGTGAGAGGATTGTTTGAGTCCAGGAGTTCAAGACCAGTTTGGGCAACATAGCAAGACCCCATCTCAGAAAAGAAAAATATATCTTGTCAGGTTTATAGGGGTACAGCTTGGGCAAGATGTTGCCTAGCATGACACAAGGGCAGGTTTTCTATAGAGGGAGTGCTGGCTAATGAGAAGGAGCAGGGATGAGGCCAACTTCAGAAAGCTAAGGGGCTGAGGTCGAGGGAGCACTTCCTTGCCCTTTGAGGGTTCTCACAGCTGAGGAACTGTAGGTTGTTTCTTCGCACAAATAGACCTTAGTTTTTCTCAGCTATGAAATGGAAAGAGCTGTCTTTGTTCCCCCTAATGGGATCAGGGCAAGGTAGTGAATGGTAGTGACTATCTAGTTCTTCCAAGAACCAGGCCCTCTGACTGGAGTGAGGAGGTTATAGACTTGGGGCCTATGGGAGTCCTTCTTGGTTACTGAGATTTCAGGGAAGCATGATACATATCTTGTTCCTAGTCTCTTTGGCCCACATTGGGTCCTGGGTTGACCAGGTGCTAGTGCTACTCTGATATACCATCTCTTAGTTCTAGGCCATTCTGTCTATAATTATAGCATGCACTTTCACCCTTCAGCCACCATGGAACAAGTTTGGTGGTACATAAGGAGGTGCGTGTGCCTTTTTGGAGCTTTCTTTCTCTGAAACATGCCTAGAGCTTAGATATAATTCTGAAATTTGCAGAGGATCTTCACTGTTCCCCTCATTAAGTCTACCCCTCTGGGGTAAGTGGACTGTGCAGTTATTTTCCGTTTATAATTATTAATAAAAGAAAAAAGGAGTCCACAGTGAAACTGATTTGCTCAAGACAATATAACAAATAAGTAGCAGAGGGAGAGCCAAAGCTCAAGTTATGTGGCACCAAAATATCTTGATGCTTGCTGTGTGACCTAACTCCTCTGAGCCTCTGTTTCCTCATCTGTAGAGGAAATGATAATACTCACATGACCCTGTCAGGGAGATTGACAGAGGACATATCTAAAGCTTTTGGCAGTTGTGACCCTCTCTATTGGGACTTGGGCTTCTCTGATTGACTAGAAGGTGACAAATGAAAGAGAAGTGGCTGGGTGCAGTGGCTTGCGCCTGTGATCCCAGCTCTTTGGGAGGCCAAAGTGGATGGATTGCTTGAGCCTAGGAGTTTGAGACGAGCCTGGGCAACATGGTGAAACCTCATTGCTACAAAAAATACAAAAATTAGCTGGTCGTGGTGGCGTGCGCCTGTAGTTCCAGCTACTCAGGAGGCTGAGGCCGAAGAATGGCAAGAACTCGGGCGGGGGAGCTCACTGTGAGTCATGATTGTGCCACTGCACTCCATTCCAGCTTGGGCGACAGAGCAAGACCGTCTCAAAAAAAAACAAGAAGTGAGAACGAGGTGGGGCTAAGCACTGCCAAGAGTCTGGGATCCGGTTCATTGGGAGAAGCCCTGGGTAGTGAAAGTGTGGACTGCTGTATTCCTCTGTTCTCCCCTAAGATTGGACCCAAAGATAGTGGTCAGTGGGAGGGGGTGGCCAGCCTCTTTGAGCCATTTTTTCTTCAGGCCCAGACGAGAGTGAAACTGAACTACTTGGACCAGATTGCCAAATTCTGGGAAATCCAGGGCTCCTCCTTAAAGATTCCCAATGTAGAACGGCGGATCTTGGACCTCTACAGTCTCAGCAAAGTAAGAACAGGTTTTTGTCAAGCACCCCCCACCTCACCCCAATATCCTTGGTACTGTGGGGGCCCCCTTAGTTTGAATATTAGATCTTTAGGCTGCAATGGAAGGGGCACAGCTTGGTAGCACACAAGCTGTCATGAGAACATCTTGGAATCTTTTGCTGCAATTTGAGATTGGGATAAGGGGATAGCCTCCTGTGAAGTGAGGGACTAGAGTTGCCCTCATTGCCCTTTTGCCCTTTCTACAGGCCTACTCCCTCACAAAAATACACATGGCATATCCATGTCTTTTCCTGCTTGTTTTTTCAGATTGTGGTGGAGGAAGGTGGTTATGAAGCTATCTGCAAGGACCGTCGGTGGGCTCGGGTAGCCCAGCGCCTCAACTACCCACCAGGCAAAAATATTGGCTCCTTGCTACGCTCCCACTACGAACGCATTGTTTATCCCTATGAAATGTACCAATCTGGAGCCAACCTTGTGGTAAGGATGTCAAAGTGGGGCAGGGCGCGGCTTTACCCTTCAGCACAGATTTCCACACTTGCTCTTAATGAAACTGGTTTAGTGGACTGAAGATCTGGGAATTGGACTCTGCTCTTTCCTAGTGATGCTTGTTCTCTTTCTGCACTGCTCAGGGTCAGAGGTCCTGGAGTTATCTGTACGGCTAGCTTATTTGTTATGTGACAAAGTTTTAACTGATAGAGAAATCAGATAAGGGAGAGCTTGGGCTAGAAGGTGTGGGAAGAGATGGCGTCTGATTTAGTTGGGGAGGTGGTTGGTTGGTGGAGGAAGTGACTGGAAGGGAGGAGTGATACAAGCAAAGGCACTGAAAATTCCCAAAGTGTGTGCTTGGGTCAGGTGAGTGGACCACAACTTTGGATGCCACTGGGTGAGGGTAGAGGGAAGTTCTTGCTTTTGCGGGCTGGAGTCCCATGTCCTGACCCTTACCCCTCACCTGTCCCCAGCAGTGTAACACACGTCCATTTGATAATGAGGAGAAGGACAAGGAATACAAACCCCACAGCATCCCCCTACGACAGTCTGTGCAGCCTTCCAAGTTCAACAGCTATGGCCGGCGGGCCAAGAGACTGCAGCCTGATGTGAGTACTCCCCTTCTTCGAACTTAGAGCTTTGAGGTGGAGGGAGTCCTTTCCTTCCCTTTGGCTAAGGCTGTGTTCCCTGTTCCACTATCCCTTCTTTTGTTCTCTGAGTTCTTCTGAGCGTTACTGTGTGCCTCTTTCTGGCTTCACTTTTGCTTTTTTCTCCCCTCTCAGCTGAGCTGCTGAGCTGGGTCTTGATCTGTTTGTCCAGCCTCTTTTGTATGTCTGCTCTTCTTGCCTGTTTTGTTCCTTTCCAGACTTACTCTGCTCATAGAAGTAGAACTCTTCTTTCTCCTTATACCTGTGTCTTTTGTTTTGTTTTGAGACATAGGGTCTTGCTATGTTGCCCAGACTGGAGTACAGTGGCTATTCACAGGCTTGATCATAGTGCACTATAATCTTGAACTCCTAGGCTTGAGTGATCCTCTCGCCTCAGCCTCTTGAGTAGCTAGGACCACAGGTGTGTACCACTGTTCCCAGCTCCTTATGGCTATGTCTTCAAGCAGAAGCTTATGTGCGAGGCATTCTTCTTGGCACTGGGAATACAACAGAGAACAAGATGGACACTCCCTGGGCTCAATGAAGCATGTAATTTAGCAGATCCTATTAGTCACTGCCATTTGTTGGTAATGCCAAACACTGCTAGCTTTTTCATATATATTATCCCTAACCCCCCTCATAACTATAAGGGAGGAGGTAATATTCTCATTTTACAGTTGGGAAAACTGAGATATCCTGTCTTTTATTCCTTTCCGAGAGAGGGCCGAGGAGGCAGCTCACCTACCCTCAGTCTCCAAAAAGCAACACTGAGTTCTTGGCTTAGCCCATCTGTGCCTCAGCCCCCAGCATATCAGGTGATATGTAGTCTGAGTTATTGTTCTTTTAGGATGGGACAGTCTGCCCCAGATAGCAGTCTTGATTCATTTCCTTCTTTCCTTCCAGCCGGAACCCACAGAGGAAGACATTGAAAAGAATCCAGAGCTGAAAAAGCTACAGATCTATGGGGCAGGCCCCAAGATGATGGGCCTGGGCCTCATGGCCAAGGACAAGACTCTGCGGAAGAAAGGTAAGTCCTAACAGGCTGGAGTGGCCTCACCTGAGGAGAAAAGTCAGGGCCCTAAGTGTCCTAGACCTCTGTTTACAGCCATTTTTCTCTCTCCCAGATAAGGAGGGGCCCGAGTGTCCCCCCACAGTAGTGGTGAAGGAGGAGTTAGGTGGGGATGTGAAGGTGGAGTCAACTTCGCCTAAGACCTTCCTGGAGAGCAAGGAGGAGCTGAGTCACAGCCCAGAACCCTGCACCAAGATGACCATGAGGCTGCGGAGGAACCACAGCAATGCCCAGTTTGTAAGGACCCAGCCCTGACTTCTTAATGCTCTGCTTCTCGTCCCTTCAATAAGCATTCCCCTGCATGGCACTGGACCAGGTCGCATTAACCACAAAAGCGGGCCTCCATGGGCCCTGCCCTCAGTTAGCTTCCTTAATTGGGGAAACAAAGCCAACTCACATGGAACAAAGAGCAAGAAAGGGTGATCAAGTGCTGTCAACATGAAGTGCTGGAAGGGTCCAGAGAAGGAGCCTCACCATTGCTTCAGGATAAAGGCTAAGCTCCTCATTGCCATGCATGATCCAGTCCCTGCTGACCTCTAGCCTCATCCCCCAGCACTGCCCACCTCACTCCTCTGCTATAGCCACACTGAACTCCTTGTAGGTATGTTCATTTTTCCCCGTAAGATGCACTATGCTTTTTCATCCCTATCCTTTGCACATGTTGTTTCTTCAGCCTGGAAGAGATTCCCCCTGTGCTCTGCCCTGTTGCCAAGTTTTGTTTTGCCTTCAGGTTTCAGCCAGTTTCAGGTGTCACCTTTTCAATGAAGTCCTTTCTCAAGGCTATCCCCCCTTATCTCCAGCTGCTTTGAGTGCTTCCTTCTCTAGGCTCCACAGTGCCCTTTATGGACCGCTATTGGCAATTTTTAATTTTTATGAACACATGTCTCTAGAGTACTGTATATACTTGGAAGGATACCATGTCTTGTTTTTGTGCTAGAGTCCAGCGTAGTTCTGAACATGGGTTTAGTAAGTGTTTATTGAATGAATAAAAATAGGAGGATTCAAGACTGGATGATGAAAGACTGGTCTCGCAGCTCTACCTGCTTATTTGGGGAGGGTACATACATGCAGTTGAGCTCCAGACCTAGCATGACTAGCTTGTACAGGACTGTAAATCATTCAGCCAGCAAACACAGTGGATTTCCAATGGAGAACTTTTGCTCTTCTCCCCTGGCAGATTGAGTCATATGTCTGCCGGATGTGTTCTCGAGGGGATGAGGATGACAAGCTCCTGCTGTGTGATGGCTGTGATGACAACTACCACATCTTCTGCCTGCTGCCTCCTCTGCCTGAGATCCCCAAGGGTGTCTGGCGGTGCCCAAAGTGTGTCATGGCGGTAAGGCCTCCCCACTCCACATCTGTGTCATAGGGCTCTTGCCTTCCTTCATCTGGCCTTATTGAGGGCAGCTTCTTAGCTCAGCCATAGTCTTAGGTTTTGGGTCTCTGTGGTGGGATTAGGCTGGGCAGAGCTTTGGGAGAAAGGAGCAGGAGATTCGGCCTTTGCTTTTGTCCTCTAAGAGCTGCCAGACCACCTGGAGAGGTAAGCATCATAATTAGACTGTATGTGGTGACATATAAACAGAGGCTAAATTGTGTGTTAGGAGCTCTGAGATAAACAAGTTCAGAGGAGAGGAAAATGGCTAAGGGTAATAATCAGGGAAAATGTCAGAAATGAGACTTGAAGGATAGGAATTTTTTTTTTTTTTGAGACGGAGTCTCGCTCTGTCGCCCAGGCTGGAGTGCAGTGGTGTGATCTCAGCTCACTGCAAGTTCCGCTTCCCGGGTTCACGCCTTTCTCCCGCCTCAGCCTCCCGATTAGCTGGGATTACAGGCGCCCACCACCACGCCTGGCTAATTTTTTGTATTTTTAGTAGAGACAGGGTTTCACCTTGTTAGCCAGAATGGTCTCGATCTCCTGACCTCGTGATCTACCCGCCTCGGCCTCCCAGAGTGCTGGGATTACAGTCAAGAGCCACCGTGCCCAGCCGAAGGATAGGAATATTAAGAAAAAAATGTTCTTTCAAATTCTGAGTTTTTGTTCTTTTTTTTTCTTTTTTAGAAAGTTTGAGGCTGGGCATGGTGGCTCACGCCTATAATCGTAGCACTTTGGGAGGCCAAGGTGGGCGGATCGTTTGAGCCCAGAAGTTTGAGACCAGCCTGGGCAACATGGCGAAACCCCGTCTCTACCAAAAAAGATACAAAAATTAGCCAGGCATGGTGGCGCACGCCTGTTGTCCCAGCTACTTGGAAGGCTGAGGTGGGAGGATCGCTTGAGCCCAGGAGGCAGAGGTTGCAGTGTGCCGAAACCATGCCACTACACCCCAGCCTGGGCAACAGAATGAGACCCTGTCTGAAAAAAAGAAGAAAAGACGTTTTGGAAAATAGACAAATTACTTGCCTTCCCACTACCCAGTGATAGCCATTGTTAATAGTTTGGTATATTTTTTTCTCATCTTTTTGCTGTTACTTATATGTAACTATAACAAGTTTGAGATCATGTTATATATTTTCATTTGTTACTTTATAACCATTTCTCTGTAGTATTAAGTTTAATCAAGGTCTGGAATTTTTTTTGGATGGTATATCATGGGTATAATATTTATTTAGTTGTTTTCCTCTTGTTATATTTAGACTGAGGCAGTGATACAGGCTTTAACTAGAGAGGTGGGTGGCTGTTCAGGACTGGGAGGTGGAGGACTAGCAGGAACAGAGGTGTAGCAGGAGAGCATGCCTACCATGGGTATAGGAGCAGTAAGGAGAGCAGCTGAAGCAGCAGTAAGGGCCAAGTGGCCAGGAAGTTGGGCAGGTACATTTCATGAACTTCCTACCTTCACCCAAATTCTTGGTGCTTATCTTCTACATTTCCCTCTGGATTTCTGGAGAGCAGACATTTGCCTTATCTTAGGGACTCAACTGTGGTTGTAGAGACCAGGTGTGCACATGCATACATACACACACACAGACATACACAGATGAGGAAAAATCAGGGCAGTGCATATTGGCCTTGGTAGTGGTGGAGATTCCAGTTGGGGAGGAGTTTGGATACCAACAGTATCAAGACTGTCGACTCTACTTGACTCTCTAAGTGGTTATAAGTCAGTGGATCAGACTGACGTTTATTTTTCAAACATAAGCATGGTGTGTGTCTGATTTTGGGGTACATATCGTTCTCATCTAAAATAATGAACATAGGTACAAAATGAGGTAGACCCACATCCTGTCTTCTGAGACAGTCTCAAGAACAGAAGTAGTGGAGGGTTTATACTGTAAAAGCCAGTGTCTTCATTTTCCATCTTTCTTTTTCCTTTTTTTTTCTTGCGACAGAATCTTGCTCTGTCACCCAGGCTGGAGTGCAGTGATGCCATCTGTGCTCACTGCAACCTCTGCCTCCCAGGTTCAAGTGATTCTCCTGCCTCAGCCTCCTGAGTAGCTGGGATTACAGGTGCCTGCCACCACGCCCGGCTAGTTTTTGTATTTTTAGTAGAGACAGAGTTTCACTCTGGTGGCCAGGCTGGTCTCGGAACTCCTGACCTCAGGTGATCTGCCCGCCTCAGCCTCCCAAAGTGCTGGGATTACAGGCATGAGCCACCATGCCCAGCCCCATTTTCCATCTTTCAAGGTGCTAGGATATTCATTGCCATTTTCCCAGCCGTATAGTTCTAGTCTGGGCATAAAAACACTTCCCTAAGCATCCTGCATAGAATCACATTTTAGAGGCCGGGCATGGTGGCTCATGCTTGTAATTCCAGCACTTGGGAGCCAAGGCGGGCGGATCACAGGGTCAGGAGTTCGAGACCAACCTGGCCAACATGGTGAAACCCCATCTCTACTGAAAATACAAAAATTAGCCAGGCTTGGTGGCGGGCACCTGTAATCCCAGCTACTCGGGAGGCTGAGGCAGGAGAATCGCTTGAACCTGGGAGGCAGAGGTTGCAGTGAGCTGAGATTGTGCCACTGCACTCCAGTCTGGGCGACAGAGCAAGACTCTGTCTCAAAAAAAAAAAAAAAATAGAATCACATTTTAGTGAGAGAGGAAAAATGGTGGCAGAAGAACACCGGATAGCATATTAAAGTCAGAGCCATTTAGATAAAGTCCTAAAGGAAGAAAAGAGCATGAGATGACTCCCTGGAAGTTGTGAGACTGGAATTGAGTTTTGAAGAACCAATGAAAGAAAGTGGAAAAGGACATTTCAGTAGGGAGGAACTGAGCGAAAAAAGCATGATGGGGAATGAAAAGACTAAGCCGAAGTGTGGTAAGAGCAAAAGGTACAGCTATAAAGTAAGGCCTGCCTCAGGGGCCTTGAGTGCAGACCTAGGGCTCTTCTCCCTCCCTACCCCTTATATTCCAGTTCCACTTGTGAGGATTCTTCACCTCCTTGCCTCTGTTTTGGTGACATGTTCTCCTTTGGGTTTTAGGAGTGTAAGCGGCCCCCAGAAGCCTTTGGCTTTGAGCAGGCTACCCGGGAATACACTCTGCAGAGCTTTGGCGAGATGGCTGACTCCTTTAAAGCTGACTACTTCAACATGCCCGTGCATGTAGGTGATGGAGGGCTGAGGTAGTGTTGGGCTGGGATCATAGGTGTTGGTGCCAGATGGTCTCAGCTCACCTGGGTCAATGGGTCCAGGGTGTGATGGGCCATGGTCAGCTGCTACCTTTCTTCCCCTAGATGGTGCCCACAGAACTTGTGGAGAAGGAGTTCTGGAGGCTGGTAAATAGCATTGAGGAAGATGTGACTGTTGAGTATGGAGCTGACATCCATTCCAAAGAATTTGGCAGCGGTTTCCCTGTCAGTGACAGTAAACGGCACCTAACCCCTGAAGAGGAGGTGAGTGGATGATCATGGTTACATGTCAGCTGTGTGAACTTAGGCAAATCATTTAATATCTGAAAAACTCAATATCTCTGTAAGATGAGGATAATTATGCCAATCTTATGTAGCCGTGAGATGAGATGAAAGAAAACAGTCTGGTACCTGGCATGTACAAACATGAGATGGGTTCTTTCACCTCTGTGAGCCCATTTCCTTATCTCTAAAATGGGGATAATATCTACCTTGCAAATTTGTTATAAAAATTAAATGAGAAGGTATATGAGATCCTGGCTCATCCATAAGAAGTGTTCAGGGAGTGGGGTTTGTATGCAGAGGAGAAAATGAGGGCTTAGTTGTGCTTCCAAGAAAGGGTACATTTTGATCCAGAGCAGGACTTTTTTTAACTTGCAGGTATTTTGGTAGATGGATATATCTGTAAACTTTGCAGAAATTGAAGTGAATAGAATTGAAATTTTGTATGTATGCTTTTTGGTGGAGAGGTAGGGAGAAAACCTATATGTTTCTTAAGATGTTTCAAAAAAGTCTCTGACCTCAAAATTAAGGTTCCCTAGGCTAAAGAAAATGACTTAAGATCTCAGTTCCTTAGCATAACCCTCATGCCCTTTTTACAAATACCTGACCTGGCAGGAGTATGCTACCAGTGGTTGGAACCTAAATGTGATGCCGGTGTTGGAACAGTCTGTACTGTGCCACATCAATGCAGATATCTCTGGCATGAAGGTGCCCTGGCTCTACGTGGGCATGGTCTTCTCAGCCTTTTGCTGGCATATTGAGGATCACTGGAGTTACTCCATTAACTACCTCCACTGGTGAGTGGGGCCCTGGGGAGCCAGGGAATCAAGTCACTGTGGGCTCCCTGCATGACCAAGGTGTGATTTACTGTATGTGTCCCTTTTCCACTTGTGCAGGGGTGAGCCGAAGACCTGGTATGGAGTGCCCTCACTTGCAGCAGAACATTTGGAAGAGGTGATGAAGAAGCTGACACCTGAACTGTTTGATAGCCAGCCTGACCTCCTGCACCAACTTGTCACCCTCATGAATCCCAACACCCTCATGTCCCATGGCGTGCCAGTGAGTACCCAGGCAACAGGGACAAGCAGCAGGAATGATTTAGTGATGTCCTTTGTGATGGTGGTGGTGGTGGTTGTCATCTAGATTCTGCCCCTGTCCTTTCTTCGTTGCTGTTCTTAATTGGGCTACAGGTTTGACTACTCTAGTAGAGACCCAAAATAATAGTGATTAGATGTACCATATGATGGTATACCCTCTGGGCCATGTGATAGAGGGTAACACCTAAGGGGCGGCTTATTATCACATCTACATTCCAGCCATTGGAAGAGGGAAATTGGAAGGGGCAGGGCTAGACAAATCTTTCAAGGGCACACATCATTTCCATTCATCTTCTGTTAGTAAAAACTTGGTCATATGACCACATCTAGCTGCAGGGAAAACTGGGAAATGTAATTCTTATTTTGGATGGTCAAGTACCACTTATAAACTGGAGGTCATGTTGTTATGGCAGAAGACAAGAATGAATATCAGGGTACAACTAGCAGCCTCTGCCATACTTTGTATACTGTTACCCTTCTCAGAGCAATGGGTAGGTCTTTTTATTTAACAGGTCAAAAGTTGAACCCAGAGTTCTGGGCTATCCTCTGTGTACTTCTCTCTTACCCTTTAAGACATTTTGCTGGGTATACAACATGGCTTACCTGTGAGAGACTTTATACTCCTGGGAATTTCTAGCATTGATTAGCATCAGCCAGTTTTCTGGTGTGGATCTTAAAACAGCCTGATCACTAGTCCTGTAAGAACAGGAATTAGTAGATCCTGTATCTCTGCTTTAAGTGTTATCTGGGGCTGCTGCTCTTCCCTACTCCCTTCCACGCTCTTTGGCCTTGGACACATTACCACTTACTCTAATGCATGAGGTAGTCAATAAATATTGAATTAATGTCTCCTTCAAATATTCCTAGATATCTGTACAGTAGGGCTTTGGACTAAGTCAGTGGTTCTCACCTGCGTTTCTTTTTACCTTTACCTTGTTTTGGTATACTATATGTCCCATGAGTAATATTTTTTTATTATAAAATTTAGTGATATTTAACCAAGGACTTGGGATATCTAGGGAATTGGACAGAAGGAGGTGTCCTATAACAGTTTAGGCAGTCTTCCTCCACTCAGGGAGTTATCCTTTTCTCTCTCTACCTCACCCCATTTAAGGATTACCGGACTCGATAATCAAGGGCTTGAGTTCTGCTTCAAAAATAGACATGGGGTCTGACTTTCCTCAGACTTCTGTCTTCCTGACCCATAGCACAGCATCAGTCCTTGTCTATAATGCCATGGAAAACTGTAAAAGGGGATTCTCTTGGCCGGGCGCAGTGGCTCACACCTGTAATCTGAGCACTTTGGGAGGCCGAGGCAGGCAGATCACTTGAGGTCAGGAGTTTGAAACCAGCCTGGCCAACATGGTGAAACCCCAGTCTCTACTAAAAATACAAAAGTTAGCCAGGTATGGTGGTACATGCCTGTAATCCTAGCTACTCAGGAGCCAGAGGCAGGAGAATCGCTTTAACCCGGGAGGCAGAGGTTGTAGTGAGCTGAGATTGTACCACTGCACTCCAGCCTGGGCAACATAGTGAGACTCTGTCTTTAAAAAAAAAAAAAAAAAAAGAGCCGGGCACAATGGCTTATTCCTGTAATCCCAGCACTTTGGGAGGCTGAGGCGGCCGGATCACCTGAAGTCGGGAGTTCGAGACCAGCCTGGCCAACATGGCAAAACCCTGGTCTCTAATAAAAATACAAAATTAGCCAGACGTGGTGGCGCATGCTTGTAGTCCCAGCTACTGGGGAGGCTGAGACAGGAGAATCGCTTGAACCCAGGGGGCGGAGGTTACAGTGAGCCGAGATCATGCCATTGCATTCCAGCCTGGGCAACAGGTGCGAGACTCCATCTCAAAAAAAAAAAGGATTCTCTGAAGGATTTGGGTAGCTAAGAGGCATATATGTGTGTGTGTGTGTGTGTGTGTGTGTATACATATATATATGTATATGCAGAAGGTCATGGAGCTGTTTAATCCTTACCTCTTTTTAAAAAACTTTATCACAGACTGAAATATGTGCTTTTTGCTTACACCTCCACAGCATTTCTGCTGCTCGTGACTCACCGTCTTCTCTGGCCAGCTACTACTTTGCCACCCAGCCCTCTGTCTGCCCTGCCCTTCCTATAGGTAGTTCCCAGCATCTCCAGGCCCTTTGGACTTGGCAGTATCCCCTTAATTGAAGTATCTGTGATGTTTATGTTCTCATGCTGGCAGGCTGCAGTTTAGCCAGCTGGAGCTCCCCCAGAGGTATCTTTAGCTCCCTGCCCCCACCGCCCTGCCTTCCCCTTTGGTGGGAGAAGGCCATTTCTTTTTATAGATATGTAATGTAAGTATTATTTTCTTTTTTTTTTTGAGACGGAGTCTCACTATGTCACCCAGGCTTTAGGCTGGAGTGCAGTGGCACGATCTCGGCTCACGATCTCAGCTCACTGCAACCTCCTCCTCCCGGGTTCAAGTGATTACCCTGCCTCAGCCTCCTGAGTAGCTGGGATTACAGGTGCCTGCTACCATGCCCAGCTAATTTTTGTATTGTTAGTAGAGACGGGGTTTCACCATGTTGGCCAGGATGGTCTCGAACTCCTGACCTCAGGTGATCCACCCACCTTGGCCTCCCCAAAGTGCTGGGATTACAGGCGTGAGCCACCGTGCCCGGCTTATTTTCATTATAAAATAAACATGCCCTCTTCCCAGAAAATGGAAAACAGAAAGTTTGCCCCTATTCTCTCCACCTTAAACATCTAAACATTGTTATGTTTCCAACTGTTATTTTTTATGTAAAATTCGACATAGCAATAATCAGTGTATGGTTTTTATAATCAATTTAGTAAGTTTATTGTTGTAGAACTGCACTGTCCAATTTGGTAGCCGCTAGCTACACGTGGCTACTGAGCACTTGAGATGTGGCTAGTCCTCACTGAAATGTGCCAAAAGTATAAAATGCATGTTAGCTTTCAAGACTTAGTACGAAACAAAGAATGCCAAGTATCTCACTTAATACTTTTGTGTACCAATTATACCTAGAAATAATAATATTGTGGATATATTAAGTTAAATAAAATATATTTAACTTAATTTTACCTGTTTTTTTTTACCTTTTTAATGTGGCTACTAAAAAAATTTTTTTTTCTTTTTTTTTTGGAGAAGGAGTCTTACTCTTGTCACCCAGGCTGGAGTGCAAGTGACATGATCTCGGCTGACTGCAACCTCCGCCTCCCAGGTTCAAGCGATTCTCCTGTCTCAGTCTCCCAAGTAGCTGGAACTACAGGCCTGAGCCACTATGCCTGGCTAATTTTTGTGTATTTTTAGTAGAGATGAGGTTTCACCATGTTGGCCAGGCTGGTCTTGAACTCCTGACCTCAGTTGATCCTCCCGCCTCGACCTCCCAAAGTGCTGGGATTACAGGCGTGAGCTACTGCGCCAGTTTTTGTTTTTTTTTTTTTTTTGTGAAGGAATCTCACTCTGTTGCCTGGTTTGGAGTGCAGTGGTGTGCTCTCGGGCTCACTGCAACCTCCATCTCCTGAGTTCAAGCGATTCTCCCGCCTCAGCCTCCCGAGTAGCTGAGATTACAGGCGTGCGCCACCACTTCTGGCTAATTTTTGTATTTTTAGTAGAGACAGGGTTGTACCATGTTGGCCAGGCTGATCTTGAACTCCTGATTTCAAGTGATCTGCCCGCCTTGGTCTCCCAAACTGCTGAGATTATAAGCGTGAGACACCACGCCCAGCAAAAGAATTTAAAAGTACCTATGTACCGAGCATATTTCTCTTGGACAGCACTGGTCTAGAATGATTTTCACTTTGTTACTATATGAATTATAACCATTTTTAAAAGTTTCATTGCAGTATGATTTGCTACATACCGTAAAATTCACCGATTTTAAGTACACAATCCAGTAAGTTTATGGAGTTGTGCTACCATTTCTACAATCCAGTCGTAGAACATTTCTACCACCCCAAAAAGATCCCTTATACCCATTTACAGTCACTCCCCTTTCCAGCCCCTAGTCCCGGTCAACCATTCATCTGTTTTCTGTCTATAGATTTGTCTTTTCTGGACAGTTCATAAAAATGGAATAATATGTGGTCATTTGTTTCTTCTCTCACTTAGCATGTTTTTGGGGTTCATCCACATTGCAGCATGTGTCAGAACTTTATTCCTTTGATGACCCAGTAATATTCACCAGTTGATGAACCTTTTGAGTTGTTTTTACTTTTTGGCTATTCGCAGTTGTCATTTTTAACAGCTGCAGAATGTGAGGAGAACTTTTCTAAATAACCACATAGGAAATAGTAAAGTGACATTGCCAGAATCAGGGTGCAGGGTGAGACAGAGTTATGAGCATCAAGTTCTACTCCTGGCTCTGCTACCTGAGGCTTACCTGAGACTTAGTTTTCATGTCTATAAAATTAAGGCTGGCATAGTAAGACCCCTTCTAATTAATTAATAACAAATAAAATTAAGCCTGGTACTAGATCATTCAGTAAATGTTGCTAGAGCTCATTCTTTGTGCAAGGCCTCTCTGGTCAACACTCTGAAGGCAAATAAGCCAGTGCCTGCATTTGTGTATGCATAGCTGAGTGCTGGACAGAGGAGTAAATAAGTGGAATAAAGCATTAAAGGTGCTAAAAAAGAGCAACAAACGAGGTCATTTAGGAAGCGGGGGTTATCAGGAAAGGTTTTGCAGGAGCAGTGTTCCCTGAAAGAAGAGTAAGAGTTTACCTGTCAGAACTGTGACTTAATCATGTGGGCATGGGGATTCCAGTGAGGGACTCTCAGCTGAGGCTGATTTGCATTTTTTGGAAGATAGTTCCAAAATGGTCAGATTTGCATTTTTTGGAAGATAGTTCTGGCAGTTAGTAATTGAGGCCAATGCAATAATACAGGTAAGAAAGAAATGCTGATGTTGCCTCTAAGTAGAGGTAGATTTGAGAAGAAAATATGATGGAGGTGCAAGCTTGATGCATGGTCCAAATAAATGGGGAGATATGTTTATGAATGGGAAGATTTAATATTGTTAAGATGTTAATTCTCCCCAAATTAGACTCCTGGCAGAGGAATCATTGGGTTGAAGGGTTCTTGATATACATTAACAAATTTGTTTTCCAGAGAGTAGAATGTATTGATTCCCTTACTGGCACTGTACCTACTTCACTGTGTCTTCAACAAAATTGAATGTTTACCTTAAAAAGCCTTGTGAGGCTTCTCAGTAAAGATGACAGATTAAGCATACACATGGCTACTTCCATTCTGTACTGAGACTCCACAAAAATTACATAAAGGGATTTTTTAAGGTGAAAAAAATTACAGAGATGGAGAATATGAGAGAGGAGACAATGATAAAATTCTTGAAACTGGAAAACAGATAGATGAGAAAACTGAAACATAAGCCAATACTGAGGACATCTTGAGAACCAACCCAATTCATACCTCAGAATCCCCCAAAGATTTGTTATCGGTGGCACCAGGCATTCTAGGGGTAAAGATGGATGGGGTGAAAGTAAGGATTGGTTCATGTCTATGTAAGAAGCTGTGAGGGCCGGGTGCAGTGACTCACGCCTGTAATCCTAGCACTTTGGGAGGCCGAGGTGGGTGAATCACAAGGTCAGGAGATCGAGACCATCCTGGCTAACACAGTGAAACCCTGTCTTTACTAAAATTACAAAAAATTAGCCGGGCGTGGTGACGCACGCCTGTAGTCCCAGCTACTCAGGAGGCTGAGGCAGGAGAATGGCGTGAACCCGGGAGGCAGAGCTTGCAATGAGCTGAGATCACCCCACTGCACTTCAGCCTGGGCAACAGAGTGAGACTGCGTATCCAAAAAAAAAAAAAAAGGCTGTGAGATCTCCCATGCTGGGCAGCTAGAAATGTCTAGTCACTCTAGTAAAAGACTGAAGATTTATTTCTGAAGAGGTTAAAACAGAGTCTCTGGATTAAGGTCTTCTAGGTACAATTGAGGGTGGAGTTATAGGGAATGTAATTAGGATTTATCATACTGGATGCTGAGGTTCCCAGCCATCATTCTCCACTTGGCTGTTAGTACACTGGTTGCCAGGCCTTTTTTCCTACAGGAAAAAAAAAAAAAAAAAAAAAAAAAAAAAAAGGAGGGTTTTCTCTGGGGAATCTGACTGGCCTGCGAGGAAAGACCTGGAGTTTCCCAAACTAAATGACTTAGCTAGATCACCCTACAGTGAAGCTTACAGTTGACAAGCTTCGTCTGTGTACTCAGAGCTTCCATTCAGCTTTTTAATCTCTTCCTCTTAAATATAAGCAGGCAGCCACAGAAAACAACTGAGAGGCTGGCACGATGGCTCACGCCTGTAATCCCAGCAATTTGGGAGGCCAAGGCGGGTGGATCTCCTGAGGTCTGGAGTTTGAGACCAGCCTGGCCAACATGACAAAACCCCATCTCTACTAAAAATACGACATGGTGGCGTATGCCTGTAATCCCAGCTACTTGGAAGGCTGAGGCAGGAGAATCACTTGAACCCGGGAGGCGGAGGTTGCAGTGAGCCGAAATCGCGCCACTGCACTACAGCGACAGAGTGAGACTGTGTCAAAAACAAAAACAACAACAACTGAGGAAACCCTAAAAAATAAACCCCCCAAAAACAGAAGCACCTTGGAGATACAGAGGCTAGGCAAGGAGAAATAAACTTCAAAAGAAAAGCATATACTGTAAACATGAATGAAGACCAGAATACTGTTTAAAAAATAGCATATGTAAACAAAATTATGGTAGCAAAAATGAAAAATGTAAAAAGTTTGTTTTCCACTTTTTTTTTTTTTTTTGAGACGGAGTCTCGCTCTGTCACCCAGGCTGGAGTGCAGTGACCGGATCTCAGCTCACTGCAAGCTCCGCCTCCCGGGTTCACGCCATTCTCCTGCCTCAGCCTCTGGAGTAGCTGGGACTACAGGCGCCCGCCACCACGCCCGGCTAGTTTTTTGTAGTTTTTAGTAGAGACGGGGTTTCACCGTGTTAGCCAGGATGGTCTCAATCTCCTGACCTCGTGATCCGCCCGTCTCGGCCTCCCAAAGTGCTGGGATTACAGGCTTGAGCCACCGCGCCCGGCCTGTTTTCCACTTTTGAAAGATAGATAGTTGAGGAAATCTTCCAAAAAATAGAGTAAAAAGATGAAAAAGGGTAGAAAAAATTAGGGAATTTTTCTAGGAGGTTCAGTATTCAAATAGGAGTTATAAAAAGAAAATAGATGAAAACTGAGAGGATGAAATCATTAATGAAATCATTCAAGAAAATTTCCCTGAACTGGAGAATCGATTTTGCAGAGTCAATGGGCCTACCCAGTACATGAGTGAAAATAAATTCATACCAAGATATATCTTGTAAATTTCCATGTCAAACACTGAGACCAGAAGAATCCTATAAGCTTGAGAGAGAGAAACAGGTTTTAAATGCTTATCAAAGCATTAGAAATCAGAATGACTTCAAACTTTTCAACAGTAACACTAGAAGATCTGAGCAGTGTGCCTTTAAAATTATTTTCGGAGTCAACAACTATGGGAGTTTAAAAAAAAGGATTTTCATCTTAGAATTCTATATACAGTCAAGTGTGAGAGTAAGAATAGAGACTTTTTTTAAAAAAAGAAAAGTAGGTTCTTCACACCATTTCTCAGGAAACTGTTGGAGGATGTTCTTAAGCATAGCAAAGGAATAAACCAAGAACGAGGAAGACATGGGATCTAGGAAATAGGAGATCTGTCACAAGAGAGTGATGATCCAGGGAGGACAGCTGGTCCAGATTGGAACAGATCAGAAGGTTGCATGAGAGACTGTTACAGAAAGATGAAAATTGATAGGAAAAGAGATTTGAATATTGGTCAGAAAGTTAGGGATATATGCATAAAAAACTAAGCAAATTGAGAAACAGGAGGCTATTTTTAACATAGTCTAGAAGCATGTTATTTAAGGTAGTTATAATCAACGCCAAAATAATCAGAAGAGGTGGAAGTGATTGGGTCTGGGGAAGGGAGAATATCAAGGCTGGCAGATTTTATAACAGATCTTTATAGAGCCATTTGACTCTTGAAACTGCATATATAACTGATGAAAGTAAATAACTAAAAAAGCTTGTCCAGCTTAATTAAAAGTGATATTTATAATTTTTGCAAAAATTACTAAAGGAAGTTGGAATATTTTGACATATATTTTTAAATCTCAAATCTCCCTGTCATCTCAACACACATCAAAACCTTGAGAGCAGAGACCAGTGGTCCTTCCTTTCAAGAGTTGGAGAGTCTGGGATTCTGTTGTCAGACTGTGTTCTCTGAGGCTTTTGTCTCCTTAATGACCTTGCACTTAAGTCAGGTCTGCATACAGGAAAATCTCTGTCTCAACAGCCATGGCCTTTCTTGTTCCTCAGGTTGTCCGCACAAACCAGTGTGCAGGAGAATTTGTCATCACCTTCCCCCGTGCTTACCACAGCGGCTTCAACCAAGGCTACAACTTTGCCGAGGCCGTCAACTTTTGCACTGCCGACTGGGTGAGTCTAGAATGTGGTGGGATTGGGGGGAGAAGCAGGAGGGTTGTGGAGAAGCTGGGGCATCATGGCCGCCAGACTTGGCCACACTCAACCTTGAACCTGCCCACAGTTGCCTGCTGGGCGCCAGTGCATTGAACACTACCGCCGGCTCCGGAGATACTGCGTCTTCTCCCATGAGGAGCTTATCTGCAAGATGGCTGCCTGCCCAGAGAAGCTAGACCTGAACCTGGCGGCAGCTGTGCATAAGGAGATGTTCATCATGGTGCAAGAAGAGCGGCGTCTACGAAAGGCCCTGCTGGAGAAGGTGGGGAGAGTACCCCAGATCAAGCACCCTATTCTGATGGAAGTTCGGGGAGGCAGAGGCAGCAGCACCAAGAAGGTGTAGCCTCTACTCTTGGAGTGTAGTGAAAAGAACTAGACGCATCTTGATTGAAAACCACATACCATTCTCTGCTATACCCTTTACCAGTAACCTTGCTTAAGTCGATTTACTTCATTGTCAGTTTTCCCATCTGAAAAATGGGATTATGATAATGCTCATCTTTTTGGATAGTTGATTGGATTAAAGATAATGTTTGCTTAGTGACTGACCCATGGCAGGTACTGGTATAGCAGCTATTTATCATTATTTAAATGACCCAGGAAAATAGACTGGCATATGAAACCTCACTGCTGATTATGTAGGTGACTGTATCAAGTTACTTGATCTTTCATATCTCACTTTCCCACTCTAAAATGGGAATAAATATCTAACTTGCAAGATGTAAAGTTAGAGTAAGGTGATTTATGTGAAAACCATCTCTCTAACATTGCCTTTGCAATGTTGCAGCTGCTATTATTGATAATGTTAATACATGAAGAAACTGATTGAAATATGGAATGTTTCTCAGGAATTGCTATTTTATTACATGCAGATGATTCAGTAACTCAAGCTAGGGCAATAATATTATCAAGTAGAAGGTGGTCCTGCTTTAATTGATTTCTTGTAAGCTTGTGTCAGTTGTGTGTGTAGCTGAGTGGAAGCTGCTACAGAGCTCTAAAGTCCACTCGTGTAGTTTCAGCCATCATCTTCAAATTTCACACTTGCCCAGTTAGGGAATTGACTTTGTGAGAGTCTTTCATAAGATTACAAAGGAGTGCAGGTTCTGTGGGATCCCTTGCTGCCTATTTAGGGTAATACTTTCTTATTTTAAAGCTCATTTATAGCTTTCCTGTGAATGTGGGCTATAGGGAGAGCTATAGCTACAGTAGCGTTGGAAGTCTGGGGCCTCTCAGTCGTGATGTTAGTTGTTGAGTCCCTGGGCTTTTCCAGGCATCATTTTCGCACTCTGTTCAGTACTGTTATTAAATGATGGCCGTGTGGCTGTGCCAAGCTGTGGGAAGGAGCCGAAGCAAGGTGGGGAGAATAGACTTTCTCATCTTGACATTCAGAATTCTTCACACTTGGCCCTTACCTCAGAGAAGCATTCTGGACACCATAGTCTTGGAATCCTGTAAGAGATTGTATGTGTATTTAAGTATGTTTCTGGGAAGAGGACTCATAGTTTACATCCAATTCTCAAGAGTCCATAGTCAAAAAAACCCCTAGAGACTTCATCCTTAGAATATTCTCTGACTTTAGAGTCAAAATTAGTTTGGCAAGTTACTGACCCTAAGACTTAGTTTCTGCCTTAGCAAAATGAGATAGACCTGTGGAATATATATTCTTATCTGAAAAATTAGAGCTAATAACAGTAAGTATTTGATGAACACCGAATCTAATTGCCGAGATACTTGTCTGATTCCATAGCTGCTTTGTTATTATTAATCTTCATAACAACCCAACAAGGATGATACTGTTTATCTCCATCTTACTAGATAATGAAACAGACCCAGAGACGTTAAATGATTTACTTATGATCACATAGCATATAAGTGGCAGAGTGGGATTTGGGCTCATAACTTATGCAGAGGTTAGGTGTTAAAGTTGGTGTGTAAGGCAAAAACTGTTAAGAGTCAACATTTCCCATTAAAATCCCTAAAATTGCCCATTAGGTATATGCACTGGGTTGTCTCTCGATTACTCCAACATAGCCAGCTTTTTTTTCATTTTTGAAATGGAGTGCGTTTTCTTTATCTGAGCAACAGATGAAGTCATTGGATTAGGTTTGGAAGCCATATTGTTGGGAGAAAATTATTATATCTCTTTAAACCCTGAAAACAAGCACATACAGTTGAATTTCTCTAAGTTATATATGTACACAAGTATCTCCTGCCTACTAAGTGGCCAGCGTGGTGCCTGGAACACAGTGGGCGCTGAGTAACTGGAAGCCGATATTGTTCCCCAGTACACATAACTAGCCAGGCCTGTCCCTTGGCCACTTCCACACATTGCCACCTCTCTGGTATCTTGGTCCACCACTTTCCTCACTTCTCACCCACAAGGCCCTTTCTGCTGATCTGGATCTTACCTGATTTTTCTTCCTCTATAAAATTACCCGACTCAGCTCACATTGATCTTGCCCTGGTTTATCTGATTCCCCCAGCTTTTAGAGTCTCGACTTTACAAAGGGCAGGTATGCTCCCTGGGGTTTGGCCTCTTAAACCCCATGACCCTCAGCATAGATTTGAGTCTAAAGTAGGGGTCGGTGGTGGCTGAGATGGAGGATTCTGCTACCTGGTTCTGGTTATATATAACACATGGGTTAAATGCCCTTAGGGCATCACAGAGGCTGAGCGAGAGGCTTTCGAGCTGCTCCCAGATGATGAGCGCCAGTGTATCAAGTGCAAGACTACGTGTTTCCTGTCAGCCCTGGCCTGCTACGACTGCCCAGACGGCCTTGTCTGCCTTTCCCACATCAATGATCTCTGCAAGTGCTCCAGTAGCCGGCAGTACCTGCGGTGAGCGTGGGCCTTTCTGGAGGAAGTGGGGCAAGAAGGAGGATGCAGAGCTGGGCCAGACATGCTCTTGCCTGCCCTCTTCCTCCAGGTATCGGTATACGTTGGATGAGCTTCCTGCCATGCTGCATAAGCTGAAGGTTCGGGCTGAGTCCTTTGACACCTGGGCCAACAAAGTGCGAGTGGCCCTGGAGGTGGAGGATGGGCGGAAGCGCAGTGAGTGATGGGGGGATGGAGGGACTCCACAGGCAAGTTCTATTCCCTTTCTTCTGTACTCTGACCACCTTCCTCTGCCTTTATTCAATACTGCCTACTCCTTGCTGCCCTCATTCTTCTTCCAGGCCTTGAAGAACTGAGGGCACTAGAGTCTGAAGCCCGTGAGCGGAGGTTTCCTAATAGTGAGCTGCTGCAGCAACTAAAGAACTGCCTGAGTGAGGCAGAGGCTTGCGTGTCCCGAGCTCTGGGACTGGTCAGCGGCCAGGAAGCTGGGTATGACAGCATGAGGAGTCAGGGCGCACATAAGGTGCTGAGGATCCAACACCTAGGAAAAGTGCTGCAAGGGGTAGACTGTGAATACCATTTGGCAGAATGGACATCATCAGGAAGCTGCCAGGCACAAGAGTGTGAGATGGCCTGGAAGGTGTTGGGGAGGGCAAGGAGACCAGGCCACTTAGAAAGGACAGGAGAGCCTCCGTGATAAGAAAGCTAGAAGTGTTTATTTTTTATCAGTACCTGGAAGTGGCCTGAGAGAGAGGCTGAGGGGTTTTGTGGGAGGCTTACGGGTAAGAACAGGACACAGATGTATAAACCTGATCCCTGCTACACAGCTTTAGAATTCACAGTAGAGGATGGATTGCAAAGTGTAGCTCTTGTTACAACCCATTAGTTTCTAATTCTTTCCCCTCATAATATGAACATGCTCTATAATTTAAAACCTTCCCTCTAACCTGGGCAATTGGGGCAAATTTGAAATATGCGAGATCAAGGTGGACAGGTGTGGTGAAGAAAGGTGTTGGGTCTTAGCATAGACATGGAGGGAGGGCACTGGGTTTAGACCTGAAACCTCACATGTGATACTCCATAGCCCCCACAGGGTGGCGGGTCTGCAGATGACCCTGGCTGAGCTCCGGGCCTTTCTGGACCAGATGAATAACCTGCCTTGTGCCATGCACCAGATTGGGGATGTCAAGGTGAGGATGCTTGGAGTGCTGCTGAGGGATCAAGGGGACTGGGGGACCTGAGCAGCAGGCTACTCTTGGCTCCTTACAAAAGCTTAAAGTGCTCAGGCGAGACTGGACGCACATGTGAGAAAAGAACAGGTGGGAGGGGTGAGGCAAGGGTCTAGTGACTGCCTGTTAGAAATGGGCCTTGAGGGTCAGGTGGCAAGGGTGTGAGTACAGGATACAGAGTCCAGGTAAGGTTTCCTGGAGGAGGGGTAGAGGAGGAGGAGGTAACAGGGTGCTTGTTGGGCTTGGAAAGTGGAGGGGAATTCATGAAAGTGGAGGAGGAGTGAGATGGAGAGGGCAACAGACCCCACGGTGGTGAGCACGAGGGTTCATGTGAGGACTAAGCATAGCAATTTTTAGGGCAGGGAGGTTTCTTGGTGCCCTGAGAACAGAGCACGCTGAAAAGTTAAATAAAGCATAGTTTAATAATTATTAGTTAATTAATCTCTAAGGGTGGGGCCCAGGAATCTGCATTCTTAACAAATTCCCCAGGGCATTCTAATGAGCAGTCAGTGTTAGGAACCCCCACTGTCTTAGAGCTTGGAGAAGGAGAGCCCAGCCCATGTTAGGCTCCTTTGCCCCAAAAGCTTAGAGGGTAAGAAGGTAGGTGGGACAAGGTTCCATCTGGTGGTGGAACTCCTCAGTGGGCCCAGCTGAGGAGTTTGTTCTTCATCCTGTGTCCTGGTAGGGTATTCTGGAACAGGTGGAGGCCTTCCAGGCTGAGGCTCGTGAGGCCCTGGCCTCACTGCCCTCCAGTCCAGGGCTACTGCAGTCCCTGTTGGAGAGGGGGCGGCAGCTGGGGGTGGAGGTGCCTGAGGCCCAGCAGCTCCAGCGGCAGGTGGAACAGGCGCGATGGCTGGATGAGGTGAAACGCACACTGGCCCCCTCAGCCCGAAGGGGCACCTTGGCTGTCATGCGAGGACTGTTGGTCGCGGGTGCCAGTGTAGCCCCTAGCCCTGCTGTGGATAAAGCCCAGGCCGAGCTGCAGGAGTTGCTGACCATTGCTGAACGCTGGGAGGAGAAAGCCCACCTCTGCCTGGAGGCCAGGTAGGTCCAGCTGCTGCTTCTCTTCCCTGTCCTATTCCAAACATCCAAGTTGAATGGAGACCCAGAGGATGATTCCCTTGGGTATCACACTCCTGTGTTACTGTATTGACTCTCCCCTGTTTTGTTCCCTATCTTGTCGGGTTTTTTTGTTTTGTTTTGTTTTTTTAAACTGTATACTTAAAGGCAGAGAGAGGCTGATGGAGAAGCAGAAATGCACAGATAGAGATTATCTAGAAGACTAGCGCTACAGGCTAATGTGCGCATACCCAGAAGCCCAAGTGACAGGCAGATGGGCAGATGTTGGTAGAAAGACCCCACATAGGGCAGTTGACAAACTGCAGCAACAGATTACATAATACAGGTTGTGTATGTAGGCATTGCCAGCAGGCCAGGAGACTGGCAGACAAACAGAGGCACAAGAGCTATGGCAGAAGGATGAAGTTGGGTGCATGCGGTCTTGGGGAAGCAGGGCCTGGCAGCTACCCTTAGGCAGAATGCAAGCAAGTAGGCCCAAGCGGCAGCAGGAATAACAGACACCCAAGGGGCCCATGCAGATATATCTGGTGGTCAGGCTGGGCTTCTGGTCAGGCAGACCACATCAGACTGAGTGTTCTTTTTTTCCCCTACCTTTAGGCAGAAACATCCACCAGCCACACTTGAGGCCATAATCCGTGAAGCGGAAAACATCCCTGTTCACCTGCCCAACATCCAGGCTCTCAAGGAGGCTCTTGCTAAGGCCCGGGCCTGGATTGCTGATGTTGATGAGATCCAAGTGAGGACCCTGCCATCCCAGGCCTTCAGTCCAGCTGGGAAGAGATAGCATATACAGTGGGATGTGCTGGCTTGCTGGGATGGGTTGGGTTGGCTGGAGAGAGGAAGGGGGCATGGCATGTAGTCAAGAGGCAAAATGTGCCTGATGAGCAAGGTGAGAGGAAGAGTGTGAGGCTGGCCTGAAGGAAGAGAGGGCACTGGTTAGGATGAGATTGGTGGGCCAGGAAGGCAGGTAGTATGGGACTGAGCAGGGCAGGGGCGTGGAGGAGAGGAGAAGAGGCAAACTACAACAGAAGGCTGACGAGATACTTGGGGCTAAGCCAGTCAGTAGATGCTGGTGTTGTGGGAGAGAGCCAAGTGGGTGTTCCTTAGGATGACACCTGTTTTTTTTCTCCCTCAAGACAGCCCAGTTCATCTTTCCAGCTCAGGGCCAGGCACAGAGTAAGCATCAATAGCACTGGCAAGTTGAACTGAGCTGTCTCTCGCCCTTGTCACTAGAATGGTGACCACTACCCGTGCCTGGATGACTTGGAGGGCCTAGTAGCTGTGGGCCGGGACCTACCTGTGGGGCTGGAGGAGCTGAGACAGCTAGAGCTACAGGTACTGACAGCGCACTCCTGGAGGGAGAAGGCCTCCAAGACCTTCCTCAAGAAAAATTCTTGCTACACGCTGCTGGAGGTGAGGCCTGGGACCTTGACCTAAAGCGTTTCTTAACGCCTGCCCTGGCTTCTATGAGATGGCTCATGAGATAACATGGGTTTTGTGGGGGCACCAGGGAGGGAAGGAGAGGGCAGGGGATGTAAGGGAAGCCCAGTCATTCCCTCTCTGTCTGCCTGTCTCAGGTTCTCTGCCCGTGTGCAGACGCTGGCTCAGACAGCACCAAGCGCAGCCGGTGGATGGAGAAGGAGCTGGGGTTGTACAAATCTGACACAGAGTTGCTGGGGCTGTCTGCGCAGGACCTCAGGGACCCAGGCTCTGTGGTAAGGAGCTTAGACAGAGATGGGGAGAAGGGCTTGGTGATGATAGAGTCTGAGCTGGGTGGCCATGCATAGACCGCTTGTGCACTGAGCCTCAGTTCTCCTGGTTTGGGAGTAGGGGTGTTAAGAGGGGGCAGGGGCAGAGAAGGGAAGGGATAGGCTGCTGACCCACTTTGTTCCTGTCCTGGGTATGGCAGATCGTGGCCTTCAAGGAGGGGGAACAGAAGGAGAAGGAGGGTATCCTGCAGCTGCGTCGCACCAATTCGGCCAAGCCCAGTCCACTGGCATCATCGACCACAGCTTCCTCTACAACCTCTATCTGTGTGTGTGGGCAGGTGCCGGCTGGGGCGGGAGCTCTGCAGTGTGACCTGTGTCAGGACTGGTTCCATGGGCGGTGTGTGTCAGTGCCTCGCCTCCTCAGCTCTCCGAGGCCCAATCCCACCTCATCCCTACTGCTGGCCTGGTGGGAATGGGACACCAAATTCCTGTGTCCACTGTGTATGCGCTCAAGGCGCCCACGCCTGGAGACCATCCTGGCACTGCTGGTAGCCCTGCAGAGACTGCCTGTGCGGCTGCCCGAGGGCGAGGCCCTGCAGTGCCTCACAGAGAGGGCCATCAGCTGGCAAGGCCGCGCCAGGCAGGCTCTGGCTTCTGAAGATGTGACTGCTCTGTTGGGACGGCTGACGGAGCTCCGCCAACAGCTACAGGCTGAACCCAGACCTGAGGAGCCTCCTAACTACCCTGCAGCCCCTGCTTCTGACCCCCTCAGAGAGGGCAGTGGCAAGGATATGCCTAAGGTGAGCTACTCAGCCCAGCTCTTGTCCTCAGATTCTTGTCTCCTAGCCCCTACCCCGGTTTAGGCTTGGCCCTGCCCCTTGTTCTCCAATTTTCAGTTTTCTTTGGACCAGCCTTCCTACTCCATTCTGCATCTGTCCACATTCCTAGACTCTGCTCCCTGCTGGCAGCCTGTCTTCCCTCCTCCTCCAGAAGGCGGAGGGTCTCAAGTTTGGGGTTGGCGGAGGAAGAATAGGGCCTGGTTCTTCAGTTCAGTCACCCCTACCTATTCTTGCTCTCCTTCGCAGGTCGAAGGCTTACTGGAGAATGGAGACAGTGTGACCAGTCCTGAGAAGGTAGCCCTGGAGGAGGGCTCAGGTAAGAGAGGTAGGTCTAGGTGTGGTATGGGTAGGCTGTTGACTGCACATCACCAGAGTGACCCATGTAGTCCTCAGCTCTGTTGTAGTGGTGGGGATAAGACCAAGGGCAGCCTCTTAACACAGCTTGTTTCTGCAACCTCCTAGATCTGGAGCTGCTGTCCTCGCTGTTGCCACAGTTGACTGGCCCTGTGTTGGAACTGCCTGAGGCCACCCGGGCCCCCTTGGAGGAGCTCATGATGGAGGGGGACCTGCTCGAGGTGACCCTGGATGAGAACCACAGCATCTGGCAGCTGCTGCAGGCTGGACAGCCCCCAGACTTGGAGAGGATCCGCACACTTCTGGAGGTGAGGAGAGGGGTCATGGGCCGGGCCAGGAGGTCAGACCGAGTAGGGAACCCAGGCCTGACCACTGGCCCACAACCTGTCTTTCTGCCTATCTGTAATCACAGCTGGAGAAGGCAGAGCGTCACGGGAGTCGGGCTCGGGGCCGGGCCCTGGAGAGGCGGCGGCGGCGGAAGGTGGATCGGGGTGGGGAGGGCGATGACCCAGCCCGAGAGGAGCTAGAGCCAAAGAGGGTACGGAGCTCAGGGCCAGAGGCTGAGGAGGTCCAGGAGGAGGAAGAGCTGGAGGAGGAGACTGGGGGTGAGGGCCCCCCTGCACCCATCCCCACCACTGGCAGCCCCAGCACCCAGGAGAACCAGAATGGCTTGGAACCGGCGGAAGGGACCACTTCAGGCCCCTTGGCCCCTTTCTCCACTCTGACTCCCCGGCTGCATCTGCCCTGCCCACAGCAGCCGCCTCAGCAACAGTTGTGACAGTGGCTGAGCCTAGCACAGACCCTGACAGAAACTCCCCCCCCTCGGCCTCAAGGATCCTCTTTCTGACCATCAAGCCTGCTTCTTAGGGGGTGGGCAGGTAGGGGGGTGGCCATCCCCCCTACCCGCCCACTCCTGAGTCCCTTGACTTTTGTATTCTGACTCCAAGGTATTGTTCAGACCTCAGCTCCTGGGGGCCAGCCCCTGGAGTCTTCCCTCCCTGGTAGCCTCTAACCAGCATTCCCAGACACCTGAGGCAGATAGATGGATGGGCTGGTGGGCAGGGGGGTGGCTGGGGCTGGGCCATCACCATTCCAGAGACAAGGCCAGTGTATATGCAAACTGGGGGACTCTCCTCTCCCTTCTCTCCCCAGTTCTGGTCCTGGCCAGGCCATGCTACACTAACCCCTGCCCCCACTCTCCTCCCCTCTTTTCCTTCCTTCCTACCCACTTCTCCCTCTCCCTTCCCCTGACTGTTCCACCCAGGAGGAGGAAACTTCACATAGCCGTGCTCACAGTTTTTTATTTTAAAGGAATTTGGCTGGGGAGCTGAACAGGGCTCCCTGTGATCTGAAGAAAGCTTTTGGTGCTTGTCCTCACAACCACCTCAATCCTCCCTCCCTGTCCTCCCCTGTCTCCTTTCCTCCTCCTGGGTTCATGTTGTAATAAAAAAAGATTGTTGGTGTGTAATTAATTTGTTCAAAAGGAAAAAAAAAGCAAAACAAGAAACTTGGTTCCAACTGAAGCCTATTTTAATTTTATTTTATTATTTTCCTCTTGTTAGAAATAAAACCCTTAGAAACATTTTTTGGAAACATGTTTCTGAAGTGCATTTCTCTTAGACGGGGAGGACAGTGCTTCCATCACCAGTCAGTGGAGCAGCTGTAGTGCTGGCGGGAGCACTAGGGCTGAAGCCAGGGAGCGCTGGGTTCTGAAATCAAGTTCCACCAGCTTCTTAACCTTGGGCAAGACGTTCTGATCCTCCCCTGACTAACCCCAAGCCATTTTCCCTCAAGTCCAAACAGATGGGCTTGGCCCGCTCACCCAGACTCCTACACCACAGCCTCCCCCAGTTGATGCCCTCCAGTTTATCCTCCTCAAGCTCCCAAAGGGATTTTTTTTTCAATGGCTTTATTGAGATATAATTTACATACCATAAAATTCACTTGTTTGAAATGTACAATTCAGTGATTTGGGGGATTTCTAAAGTGTAGATCTGATTATATACTGCTTAAAACCTTCCATGATGCTTTATTGCCCTTAAGATTATACATAGAATCTCGTTCTTTCTAGAATGTTTTCCTGTCTAACCCATATACTGCATAATTCCCTGATTTTTCTCCACAGGTTATGCCCCTGATGAATGGGGACTAAAGCTCAGATGTGTGGTCATTTGCAACCCCTGAGTTCACTTTTTAAAGACAGCTTATTGAGATACAATGTACATACCATACAGTTCACCCACTTAAAAGTATACAATTAAATAGCTTTTAGTATATTCAGAGTTGTGCAGCCATCATTGCCAAAAAAAAAAAAAATTTTAGAACATTTTCATCACTGCAGAAAGAAACTCCATATCCCTTAGGCATCCTTTACCCCTCATCCCATTTGCCTATTCGGGACATTTTACATAAATGGAATCGTATAATATGTGATCCTTTGTGTCTAGCTTCTTTCACTTAACATAGTGGTTTCAAGCCCATTAATGGTCCCATAGTGGTTGGAAAGATCTCCCTTCTGAGTCCCAAAGTCTTTAAGATGAGGGTGCTGGACTAAATCAGGGACCATCAACAGATTGTTTACATGTTTTTGTGGGTGTTTGCATGCATGTGTTTTTCTGACAAGAAGACTAACCAGCTTGTATCAGATTTATAAAGGGATCCTTGACCCTCCAAAGGCTAAGAACCATTCTTTGTGGTCTTGAGTGTTGTGTGTTTGGAGTCTGCCCCGTGATATGAGGATACAAAGGAGGAAGCAAGAGCATGGAAGCCCTGCTAAGCCAGTCAGCTTCCCATCATGCCTGCCTCAAGGGCTTTCCCTCCTCTCAAGGGGCTGTGAGGAGGCTGAAGGCTAAAGGCTGGGTCCTGATTCCTAGCCCAGGAGCTTAGCACACTGCCACTCTTATTTTGCTTTCTCATTTGAACGTTCATGGGTTTCATTCCCCCTTCCCAATATTTGCAGTTGATAGGAACCTAGTGGTAAATAAGAAAGCCTGCCCTCTTCTGGCAGCTTTGATTGGTGGGAGGGTCTGGCTCAGCCCTGCTTTCATCTAGTCTCCCAGTTGGGACCCTAGGCTATATAAGTAAGGAGAGAGATGGGAGTCCGTGGACAACCCTGTCGGGTCCAGTTTGACTCCAGGTCTCAGTCCAGGGGAAAAAGCTGACCTTTTGGCTGGAATTGATCATGAAAAGGGGGTTGGAGGAGCTGACAGGAGAGGTGAGTGTGAGAGCTGGGATGGGCAGGAAAGGGCTCAGCCTCAGCACTTTACCACTCCCAAGGCAGTCAGCCACAGGAAGTGGCCAGACAGGAGAGGAAGAGATGGTGCCTACAACCTGAAGCAACTCCCAGGTTAGAGAACTGCTTGGCTGGGGGCCTCCCAGGTATAGGCCCATCCTTCACCAGTTTTCAGACCACCTTTACCATGTTGGCACATCCCTGTCGCATCCCTCACACACTGTCTCCTTCACAGCAGACACGCATTCCATGAACTCCGCAGGAGAGGCCCTAGCCGCCATCCTGCAAGACCCAGATCAAATCTAACCCCTTCCAGAGAGCTTTCTCTGGTTCCAAATCTGCCCTCTTTCCCAGACACTCCCCTAGAAAGGGAGGGGGACTGGCTCAGGGGACCCCCTTCACCTCAGATAAGGAGCTGGGGAGAAGGAGGTCAGGGAAGCAGTGGGTATCTTCTCACCTCAAAGTCATTTTCTATTATAACACGTAGCTGCCGAGTCCTCCCAAATGTTGCCATATCCCTCAGGATGGCTCCTGAATCTGCAGGTGACAAGGGGATGGGAAGAGACATCACTTCTATTAAGGACTTTACCCAAACTCTTCCTTCAGGCCCAACTGAACCCTTCTTCCCCTTCTCCTTAGTGCCTCCACCTGTGCCTTACATGGTGTCTGAAACACTAAGATTAATAGGTCTGTCTCTCCTCCCACCCCCAAGCTCTGGAGCTTCTGGAGGGAAGGCAAGGCCTAGACCTCAGTCTGTTTCCACTTCCAGGCCAAGGGCCCGCAGTCTAGTTTTAGAAAGAAGGAGGTAGGAGCATCAGTTGGAGCCTCACACTGTGCATATGAACTCTGTTTCCTTTCTGTTGCAGAGTCCAGTGGTACAGGATACCACCCTTGGGAGTGGCGCCCGGGGTCTGAGGTACATGGTCAGTGGGTCCTTGAAGGGGCAGACGCTAACTAGCCATGCTTCCCAGAAGACCTGAAATTGTGATGGGAGAAGAGGAGTTAGGAAGCAGAGGAACAGGGTTCTTGTCCCTGGGGCACTCACATGAAAGGGAGGGGAACAGCCCCTTGTGAACCTCCACCTGGGTGCTCAGCTCCATTTGAGATATTTCACAAAGTCCCCAACAGACACAGGAAACACCCCTAGGAAAACAGGCCTCACCTAGGCGTATCAGCCTGGCAGAGCTGGGATTTTCACCAAATCTCTGTGACCCTAAGGCCTGTGCTAGACAGAAGGGGTCCAAAGTAATCAGCCTGCCATCAGGAAATAGTTCACAGTGGGAGCTCAGTGTTGATCTCTGCTGTTGGTAGGTTGGGAATTCAGCAGTGCTAGGGCCACAGTGGCCTTGGTAGGTTAGAAGTTCATATTGCCAAGGTGCATAACCTCCACGCTTGTCTCTATTGGTTATATGTTTGCTACATAACAAATTACCTCAAAAACAGTGGCTTAAAACAACATTTTATTTCACAGTCCTGTGGTTAGGAATCTGGGCACAACTTAGCTGAGTTTCTATTTCAGGGTCTCACAGCCAGCAGAGTGTGAGCTGGGGCTACAGTCATCTCAAGGCTTGGCTGGGGAAGGATCTGCTTTCACGCTGACTCATGTGGCTGTTGGCATATTCAGTCTTGCTGGCTGTTGGCTGGGGGTCACTCTCAGGTTCCTTGCCACGTGCACCTTATCATAGGGTGGCTCACAATATGGCAGCTTGCTTCATCACAGCAATCAAGTAAGATGAGCTAGAGATAGAAGGAGAGTGCCCACATGCCGGACAGAACTCATAGTCTTTATAACCTAATCTCAGATGTGACATCCCATCACTTTTGCAATATTCTATTCGTTAGAAGTAAGTCAGTTACTGCCGGGCACGGTGGCTCACACCTGTAATCCCAGCACTTTGGGAGGCCGAGACGGGCGGATCACCTGAGGTCGGGAGTTCCAGACCAACCTGACCAACATGGAGAAACCCCATCTCTACTAAAAATACAAAATTAGCTGGGTGTTGTCGCGCATGCCAGTAATTCTAGCTACTCAGGAGGCTGAGGCAGGAGAATTGCTTGAACCCCTGAGGCAGAGGTTGTGGTGAGCCCAGATCGTGCCATTGCACTCCAGCCTGGGCAACAAGTGAAAACTCTGGGGGAGGCGGGGGAACAAGAACAAAAACAAAAAAGTAGGTCAGTTACTAGGTCCAGGCCACACTCAATGGGAGGGGATTACACAAAGGTGTGAATACCAGGAGGCGGGGGAGGGGAGGTCATTGGGGGTCATCTTGGAGACTGACTACTATAGTTTTTCCACTGGTCCTGGTGATTCATGTTACTTCCACATGCAAAATACATTCACCACTTCCCAGAGTCTCTAAAAGTCTCATCCAATCACAGCATTGCCCCAAAATCCAGAACATCTAAATCAGGCCCATATATGAAAGAGGCTCTTTGAGTATGGCTTCTTAACTACTATTTGTCTCCATCTTTAGATTTGTGAGACAATTTTTTTTTTTTTTTGTAAAAAATTACTTTTTGGCCGGGCACGGTGGCTCACGCCTGTAATCCCAGCACTTTGGGAGGCTGAGGCGGGCGAATCACGAGGTCAGGAGATCGAGACCATCCTGGCCAACATGGTGAAACCCCGTCTATACTAAAAATACAAAAAATAAGCCGGGTGTGGTGGCAGGCATCTGGAGGCTGAAGCAGGAGAATCACTTGAACCCAGGAGACGGAGCTGGCAGTGAGCCAAGATCATGCCACTGCACTCCAGCCTGGGCTACAGAGGGAGACTCCATCTCAAAAAAAAAAATTTTTTTTTTAAATTATTTTTTATTTTTATGTTGTTATAGAGACGAGATCTTACTATATTGCCCAGGCTGTTCTCAAACTCCTGGGCTCAATCCTTCCACCTTGGCCTCCCAAAGTGCTGGGATTACAGGCATGAGCCACCGTGCCCAGCTGATTTATGAGACTTAAGAGGCAAGTTATCTGTCCCCAGCACACCCAACGTACAATGGTGGAATAGCCATAGAACGACTACTACAGACATTCTAGTACAAAAAGAGGGGAAATGGGAGACATAAAGGAGTTACTGGTCTAAAGCAATTCTGAAATCCAGCTGGGAAAATGGAAGTTTCTTGATTAGATGTCAAGGCCTGGGAATAATATTCTAAGGCTCTGCCCTCTGACCTCTTGGTTTTACCCTCCGTGCCTTCCTTTTTCATGAAAGGCAGCACGTTTGCAGCTGAACAGTTTCCCCAGTTTGCTTCCTGCCAGTAGAATTTTGGGAGTCCAGTGGGTTTTTTCATTTTGTCCTGTCTGTAACCAGCTGCCACCAAGAAATATTTCCATAGGGGGGCTTGGGTTACTGTTCTGTTGGCAGGTTGGGCACTCAGCAGTGGCTTATAGCCAGATTGGTCTTGGTGGAGGTCCATATTTTGGAGCCCGTGCATAACCTCCATGCCTGCCACCATGGCCATTTTGTTCAGGAATCCATTGGGCAAAGAAAAGGGTGACAGATAAGAGGCTGACTGACATCACAGAACAGGACACCTACCTGTCTACTTGATTGAGCTCCTTTTCTGCAGTGAACTCTCTCTGGTGCTCATTTATGTGGGACATGAATATCTCTCCCCATTCCAAGAGAGACAGCCATATGCTCTTCCTCAGACCTTGTCAATAATATTTCAGTCCTGTTATTTCCAAGTCCTTCACTATTTAGCCGAATCATTAACAATTACTTATGAAACAGTGGAAACCTATCTATACCTCTGATCAGCTATGTGACCTGGCAGTTGTTCTACTGGGAGAATTTCCCTTCTCACTGTCCAGGATCAACCCTAAGTAGGGCTGTAACGCTACAGCTAGCTACTTCAGCAGGGCCAGCATATCGTGCAGGGCCATGTATAAACCAAGCTGGAATAGAATATTGTATCCCTTAGTCACCTGGTCACAGGGAATTCCCCATGAGGCTTCAGGTGTGGGTGAGAGAGGGATGGCAGTACAGCAGATTGGAGTATGACTCACTTGCTCAGGCAGCTTATTCATCTTCTAGGCCTGCTTGTATAACTCTATATTCTATTTGGTGGAGTGCTACTGCACATAGATAACTTCATGGCTTGATGAGACAGTTAACACACAACTCACCATGGGGAGCTCAGCTTGCCTGGGTCACTTGGAGTCCTATGCTCAGCCATTAATTCACAAAATAAATCCACTTTTCCATTTTTATTTTTCTCTGCTCCTGGGACTTCTGTTACCACGATATTGCCACCTCCAATTTTATCCCCCATTTCTTGAGTCTTTAACTTGCTCTTCAGCTGTAGTTCTCCTCCCCTTTATGCCATCTATACTGTGTAGATTCTAATAGTATATCCAAGAACTGGAGAAATCACCACAGGATTTCTTCTGGGCCCAGTGTAAGAAAGACTCAGATCAAAACTTCATGTATAACCCCATCCCACTCTGACTGATGGGCCTCAGCGGCAATCTGGATCACCAGAGATTAACATTAATTCAGAACCAATATCCAGTCTATTTCAAAAGGCCTGGATATTTCCCTGTCCCCAGTGTACAGTGACTGTGGCTGCAGGTATCTGTGAGGAAAGCAAGGAGGGAGATTTTGCCATACACACTTGTGAAAAGTGTAGCAAGGTCCTTCTTCAGATGGACCCTCCCCTTCATTCAAGGGGCTCTGGTCTATGAACTGGGGAAGAGGCTGGGATGCCACATTTTTGAGGACAAGATCAGGCCTCCATTTTCCAGAGTAGAAGATTATTGGGGTTATATAACAACTAGGACTTTATCAGGCTACCTATTTTGGTCCTAGGGAAACTATCCTTAATTATCGACTGTTACAAACCTCCAGAGGTCAAACCTGATTATTGCTATGGTTCTGCTATCCATTATAAGAATGAGACCCAACTTCTCTTTGGAGATGAACCTATCACCTCCATTGAAATCAGGGAGTCCATTCATGATTTCTCACCATGACCCTCATCTGCAGAAATAAATCATTTCAATGCTTTATAATACTGCTACTCATTCATATACTAATTAAGGTAAATCTAGCTCCTGAGACAGAAAAAAATTTTCTGGGATTTAAGACAAGTTTACTTCTTGCTTCTGTAGTATTCCAAAACAGGTGTTAATAATTGAGTTTCCCTCTTCTAAGTGATGATTCAGAGGCCTAGGCACTTTCTGTCTAGAAGGTCTGCCGTCTTCAAAACATGGTCATCATTGTATTTATTGTCATCTCCATCCTAAATAGCCAGAAGAGGAAAAGACCATGTGGGAGGTTACTATGAGCCGGATGTAGCACACATCACTTCTCATATTCCATTAGCTAGAACTCAGATAATGGGCATACCCAATTGTAAGGGACACTGACAAATGTAGTCTAAATCTGTCCCTAGGAGGAAGAGGAAACAAGTTTAATGACCACTTAGGTAGTCCCTACCACAGTGTATTTCTCAAAGTCCTGTGAAAGGAATGTCAATGTCCACATAGTCAAAAGGGTGAGTTGAATGTGTTACACATGACTAATCGATTCCAACATTCTTATTGCCCTAAACAATGGATTCCCCTGCCTACACTGTACCATGGAATTTCTGGCATCTTAACCTCATTTAACACAAGCTACTATTGAGTAGAGGTTTTGGACAATCAATGGAACAACTCTTAGAAATACTCCTAGCTGCTTCAACTAACAAAGTACATCCAAGATTGCTGATGAGTGTACCCATACTGAAAAGTTTGGCCCTACCCAAACCAGATAAAGACATCACGAGAAAATAAAATTACAGACAAATATCCTTTATGAATATAGATGCAAAATCCCCAACAAAATACTAGCAAACTAAATCTAACAGCATATTAAAAGTAGGATACGTCTTGGCCAAGTGGGATTTATCTTAGGAATGCAGGAATGGTTCAACATAAGAAAATCAATCAATGTAATAACATCACATTAATAGAACAAAGGAAAAGAAACACATGGTCATCTCATTTGATGCAGAAAAGGCATTTCAGGCTGGGTGTGGTAGCCAACACTTACAATCCCAGCACTTTGGGAGGCTGAGGTGGGAGGACTGCTTGAAGCCAGGAGTTCGAGACCAGCTTAGGCAACATAGCAAGACCCCATCTCTACAAAAAAAATTTTAAAAATTAGCTGGGCATGGTGATGTGTGCCTGTACTCCCAGCTACAAGGGAGGCTTAGGTAGGAGGCTCCCTTGAGTCCAGGAGTTTGAGGCTGTAGTGAGCTTTGATCGTGCCCCTGCACTCCAGCCTAGGTGACAAAATGAGACCTCGTCTCTCTTAAAAAAAAATCGGCCGGGCGCGGTGGCTCAAGCCTGTAATCCCAGCACTTTGGGAGGCCGAGACGGGCGGATCATGGACCATCCTGGCTAACACGGTGAAACCCCGTCTTATAAAAATAAATACAAAACCGGTAGGCACAGAGAAGCGAGGTGGCGGGCGCCTGTAGTCCCAGCTACTCAGGAGGCTGAGGGCAGGAGAAATGGCGTGAACACCGGGAGCGGAGCTTGCAGATGAGCTGAGATACGTGACCCACCTGCAACTCCCAGCCCTGGGTGACAGAGCGAGACTATCCGTCTCAAAAAAAAAAAAAAAAAAAAAAAATACACATAGACAAAAAAGCATAGAGCTAATAAATTCAGCAAAGTTGCGAGGTGCAAGATCAACACATAAAAAGTAGTTGTGCTTTTATACACTAGCAATGAGCAATTCAAAA